TTGATATTCTCTGAACGGATTGAGCAATTGCAGTATTTTTTCATCTAACAATAGCTTATGAAATTGGCTTTCCAGTCATTATCATTTTGGTACTATATATTGTTTTAAATATGAAATTTAATTTTTGGCGTTTGCCTCCGCTTTTTTTTACTCACCCATCACTAGCATTTGGTTGGCCAGTTAAAGTGTTTAGACAAGCACGTGAAAAATGTCCCAAAGTTCATATAATTTCACGTCAAAGTCGTCTCGATCTTGATTATATTTTCCTAACCAATGCTAAGGCCAAAAAAAATAATAGTTCTGCTTCCGGTTTCTTTACCTACCCTATTCTGACAGCCCCTACCCTAATTTTTTTATTGGAAAAATGAGAAAAAAACACCCAAAACCATCAATTTCTACTTTTCACCCTTGACTACCCGCAGACGCCTCCATATGATCGTACACAAACAAATTGGCAAAAAACAAATTATTTCCCCACCTACCTACCCTATTTTCAAATGCCATGTAATCGGAAGCAGAATTTTTTTTTTTTTGGCCTAACCATGATTGCTATCCTTGCTCCAAGCAAATGCTCCAAGAGTCCAAGAATGCTCCAAGTAAAATTGTTCCTTGCTCTATAGGCCTTTTCACACTGTCCAAAATCAGCCACCTGAATCACACAGCTGCATTGTACATAATGTACATGCTATCCTACATGTAGTGCAGAAGTGATTACATAATAGCATCATATGATGTATGGTCACACACTGGCATCGGGTAACACCTATCTTTATTGACCACAGCCTGCAAGTCACTGCTCTTTAATAGCTAATGGATCAGTTACAGCTGACCACAAGTAGGCTCTTATCAGTCTATTAAACATGTTAAAACATTTTCTGAGGTTCCAGAAAATGCATTAGATTGGGCTCAGCTCTGTAATGACACAATTTTTCCGGCCAGCCTCATTGGGTTTCTGCACAGGGTGTCAAGTGATGTCCAGGTACAATGTATGGAACTCTTTCCTCAGGAATTGATGCATGCATACAAACGAAGGGCAGCCCTCGCAAAACAATTGGAAGCTTCACTTTCATGCAAACCAAAAGTTAACCTTAGTACCACCATCTTCATTTTTGTCGTCTACTTATAATATATCAAAGGCAATTTTTTTATATTTTTTTATGGCAGCTTTGGAGGTGGAATCTGATGTTTTGTTGGGCATGGGGAAGTAGAAGCACAAGCCTTGATACTCGTTCAGACCTTACTATTGCCTAATCACGTCCAAATGTTGTAGGGTCCACTGCTACTCCGAATCAGAATATCATTCTCCAACATTCATTTTTTTTCATATTCAATAATGTGACAATAATGTGTACATGTAGGCCTATAACTTAGGTGCACGTATCCACGAATTTTGGTGCTTAAGGAATAAGGAGCTACTTCATTATTACCCTGCTCATTGGGCCAATGAAACATTCCAAAGACAATCTGAGCTCCCTGGCGAGTAAACAGCTCGATGCTGCCATTTTGGGGCAAAGCAGCTTAAATCAACCACAATTATCAATTCTGCCCTCACAGGTACCAGTTTACTCCTGGCATGCCTGGGTGGGGAGAAACAATGAGTGACAAAGTGCCTTGCCCAAGGGCACACGCACCATAACCCTAGGCCGGACTTGAACCCACAACCTGCAGAATTGCCCGCAGACTAGCTTGAGTAACTCCAGCTGACATTATATTCATTCACATTATATTATATGTAGCGCTGGAGGCATAACCTGTTCGTTAGAATGTGGTAGCAAGAGACCCTCAAAAAATGGCCTCTCCAAAATTGTTCATTTTCACCTCTAATATCCCACCCCAGATTTCATTTACATACCTCATACATTCAGCAGTCATTTACGAAGCCTAATGATCGACTTGAAACAGACTGAGACCACCAAAAAAAATGTGAAAAATCTTGACGATTTCGGTGGCTTGTCCGTAAATAAACGCCATGACGTGATGACATCGAAAAAAATCTACGCGCGATGTATGTGGGTACACACCGCTTTTAGGCGCCGGAAGTGTGTTCAATTTTTGTCTGGTGCGTTGTCGCGGAAAGCAAGACAACGAGAATGCTCTCCACGACAACGCACCAGACGAAAATTGAACTCATTTGCAGCGCCTGAAAGCGGTGTGGTACCCACATACATCGCGCGCAGATTTTTTTCGATGTCATCACGTGATGCATACATTTACATAATTAGCAAATTAAAATGGCCGACAGCCATGGAACTGGCGTTTTTTTTTACAGACAAGCCAACGAAATCGTCAAGATTTTTCACATTTTTTTTGTGGTCTGTTTCAAGTCGATCATTAGGCTTCGTAAATGTATGAATGTATGAGGTATGTAAATATGAACTCTGCGGTGGGATATTACAGGTGAAAATGAACAATTTTTGAGAGGCCATTTTTTTAGGGTATCTTGCTACCACATTCTAACGAACAGGTTTTGCCTCCAGCGCTACATGTAAATGAATATGAGCATGTCAGCTGGAGTTACTCAAGCTACCCGCAGACCATGAATTCAATGCTCCAGATCATGAGGCCATGGCACTCCACACATTGCAAGCTAGTTAAAGTAGAGGAAAATATCAATTCAACAAAATTAAAACTAAAATTTGTGGGTTTTTGGGGGGGTTTTTGTTCTCTATATTACTTATTAGTACATGTACCTGGTAGTTAGTCAGTGTTAGTACATGTATCTGTTGTGCCCATTCTTGAAAATCACGCATTCTTAAGAATGTGCATGCACATTCTTAAGAATGTGCAACTGGATCCTTGCGCAATCTTCGCAAAAAATAACTCTTCCAGATTGAGCGCACATTCTTAAGAATGCGCGACAAGATAACGGTCTTGTCAATACCGAGCACCGGCTGCGCTTGGCAAGTCTAGCTGCATCCTCGTTCACTGATTCTCAATAATTATACTGTTGCAACGCAAGGCGCTGAAAAGTAGAGTGGATATGAATTATATGGGGGGGGGGGGGACCGGGAAAAAATAAGAGACATAATACTAGTGGAAAGAATTCTGATTTTTGGGATAATAAAAGCGGGGGGGGGGGGGGGGGGGGGGGGGGGGGGGGGAACGTTATGAGGAATGTGAAGAATGAGAATGAATACTGCGACATCCCATAGTGCTAATGCTATTTCCCATTTAAATTGTCACCAATTTATTGTTCACACCCCACCATTACGTCGCAGAGCTGGATTCTACATGTATCTAGTCAAAAGAGCAATTTTGGCAGCTTCTGGACATCTTTTTTTTTTCGTGGCATGCATATGATACATACAGGGAGTTGTAACTTGTCTAGCCTAAACAAAGCACTTCCCAGACTAGTTCCCAGTCCTCCGTTATTACAAAACTTCCCATAGTGGGCAGAAAAAAGCAATAATAACAGGTTTAATTTGATTCAAATTATCGTAGTTATACGAGTACAGAAGCATAGAACATTTTCTTTCCTCTTTATATAAATTGTTTCCCTTTTAACCGCTATACATTTCAATTAACATAATTATGTCGTGCAATGTTTGTTAAGATTGGGCAAAATTCATAAATTGTGCACGTGATATTCCCGCCCAATCTTAAGAATGAGCGCTCATTCTTAAGAACGCGTGCTCGTTCTTAAGAATGGGCGCTCATTCTTAAGAATGCGCGCACATTCTTAAGATTACGTGATTTTCAAGAATGGGCACAACATATCCAAGGTTTTAATGCATTGTTTTGAACATGTTGAAACGTTCAACCAATTTTCCTTCCTCCATCATTTTCCACTGTGGAAAAAATGCACACATGTATTTAATTCTGGATTGAAACATTAACATTAACAATGTAAATCATTTAACAGTCCCTATTTCATGTAAATTCCAACAACCATGACAACATCAACATGATCAATTGCCAAATTCCTAATCTGTCGAGTAACGTTATGGCAGGAGTTTCATAATTCCTCCCTCATGTCTGTCCAACAACAGCATTACCGGTAGTCATTAATTGCCTTTTTCAGTTTTTAGTAAATAGGCCTATTAACTTTCTGCCCAAGCATGCCTAGTTTTAATGAACGGTTAGGCCTATGGCGGAAAAAGTTCCATACTGGATCGCCACTTTTTTCAATTATTTTTTATGGTTATTCCTCCACTTTCCCTCCTCTACTCTCACCCTCTCCTTTCCTTAATTTCTATTTATCAATCAGTCAGTTACTTCATCGAGATTCGAACCTCGGACGCTTGCTTGATACATGAGACTCTTAACCGCTAGGCCGCGCACGATCGCTGTTGCAATAATCAATCTTTGAACATATTTGAAGTATCAATTGAAATAAACTAAATATTCATGAGAAAATAAATATTCATAATGACATATTGCACTATCATTGGCTGGCTCATGCGACGTCATGGTTATCGATGTCATGCGTATAACGTACCGCTGTTCCACACACTTCAAATTCAATCAGTTTTGACCGGCTGCTAGTGCTACAACTTGGTTCTGCACGACGTGTGCATCCAAAAATGTGCTCTAAAAACACACTTTTCCTAATTTTTTTTCACCTTAACACAGCTTCCTGGATTCCTCTTGGTTGAAATCACAAAGGTGAGGTGACAATGAATATGTTTGGCAGCAGATACATGTAAATTGACGATCGATTATGGAACTTTTTCCCCTATGGCAATTGGCATGTATGGCTATGCAGAATTTCGACAAAGACCATGAAGACTCGGATTTTCTGGTAACCTGTGCACAAATAAACGTAGGCTCCCTATAGCCCAGGTTGGACATGTCGTCATTGCATTACGTAGTGAGGTACATGTAAGGGAATCCACCTGGGGCTCCCCCAGTCACACACAAAAATCGCATCAGGCAGAGTCATTCATGTCATTGGCCTATATCCAACTGTGCACATTTCTAATGCTACATTAGTCATTACGTGCCAGAACGAACAGAAGTAACTAAAAATGTAAAACGGAGCTTAGAAAGGTTAAACTTACCCCGCAAAGTCCGGAATTGCAACCTAGTTGTAGTCTTCTCGGCCTCGAGTTCTCGAACAGTGATGTCCCTAACCCTTTACTACAGATTTCCACCTGGAAAGTTCGCGGGCTTCACACTTTTTAGTGCAATTTTCAGCATTGAATGAGGAAAATTTCGCAAGTAGGTCAGCTGGGGTCAATCATGTGATACTTGGACTGTTCCATTTTCATTGGGGGTTCACCAACTGTGTCCGGGAGTTCAACACCCCAAAATAAATAATGAAACTCGTCAAAATGTTCATTCTTTTTCATTATTTTTACATTAATACTAGACTCGAGAAAAACTGACAAGTGTTCATTGTAAAAGTAATGACAGTTACATTTTGAAAAGCCAGATAACTATTTTCGTTCAGTATGTAGACTAGCACAAGTCTATTCATCAGCAACATCCATTGTCGAACCATAATCTATTTATAAATTAGGATGTAGAGGTCACTGACTTGACAGTTCGTGTCAAGGATAAACATTGTGCAAAATGTACCCCCCCCCCCCCCCCCCCCCCCGCCGAACTGCTAGTAACATTTTGCCCAATTACCAATTACGGCCCCCATTTCCCAAAAAGGATGCGATTCTAACTCCATACAGCTCCAATGCCATATGCGATAGGCATTAGAGCTGCATGGAGTTACTCAATTAGCTACTACTAGTGGTTCTGATATTTGCATAGGCCCTATATGCTGGAAAAGGAGCGAACTTGGAACAGAACTATAGCTGAATAATTCTGAATACAATATTTTAGTTTTCATCGGTTTCAGCATAGGTTTTGAGCATGGTTATTACCTCTTTATGGTTTCAGAAGTAAATTCTATGAAATTCTTAGATTTTTTTTTTTTTAAACAACCCTTCTCTTTTCCATCTTTGTATTTAAAAGGGCAAGCTTCATCATGGGCTGTAATTCACTTGCTTCGAGGGGAGTGATGGGTATTAAAATTGTCCAAATGCATGTGCATGTACATGTATGTGATTTTGTTTTTCACGAGGGTGCGGGTGGCCGGGGCAGGGCAAAAGACCATGGTTTGAGGTGGGGGAAGCATTCTTAACTCTTTCCACCGCCAATCTGGAAAGACACCGACTAGCCAAGGAATGCACAGCTCAATTTGGGAAATGGATAAAGAATTTCTTATAGTGGGTGATATTCTGCTTTCGGCCCAAGTAAAGGAGGGGGGGGGGTACTATTTCAGTCCCAGCTCTATGCTTCAAATGCTTCAACTTAATGATGATCTTTTTATTTGCGACTCTGGACCTTAAAGGGGTGGAGCGGGGTAAGAGTCAGTGGGGTTTATATAATGTACATCATTGAAATCGAATCCAAATACACATTGTTCGTCGATGTAGCACTTTCCAAAGTTTATTCTGCATCTCTGTTACCATGCATTTTCAATAGGATTGCACATAATTTCAATTCTTAAGAAAACATGTAAAGTTTAATACTCTCCTTATATGTACATCTCATTAACGGCAATTAATGTTGTGCCAGAAATCTTGAGCACTGGAATGGTCTAGGTTTTTATTCATCAACATGATCCAGACCCCATTACAAAACTGTCCAAGCAAAAAAAATTAAACCTCATAAAAAGATCCTCCATCCTTGATCACTAATTAGACCAATCCGTTATATGCTTCACCAGCCCACTGTAAATTGACAACACACTGCGCCTCCCATATACCCATTTTCAAAGATGGTGTGTAATCAGTTTATTAGGCCCCCAAAAAAAAGGCTCCGGTTTCTGGTCTGCGCGTGCGTCGCCATAGCCATGCGCATCGGCTAAATTAAAAAGGTTTTTTTTTTCAATGTAAGATGATGTCTCAAAACCGCCAAACTCACTGGTTTTACCTCAATCCTGCTGCTGCACAATTCTAACGTGTTTTTAGATGGGGTTACGATCGAGTATAAGCTTTATGTGGCCTCTCTGGGCTCCCATGTATTTTGCACTAAATTTTGGCGGGCACCATTTGCAGTCATCAGCCGACATTTGAAGAAAAAAAAAGTAAAAAAAACAAACAAACATAAGCAGCGTTGCTGCAACACTTTTGGGGCAAGCTCCACACCAGAAACCGAAGACTTTTTGGGGGGGCCTTAAAGACTTTAAAACTTATAGTCTTCAGTATAAAAAAAAAAATTGAATAAATTAGCATAAATTTGGAGGTTGAGATTTTGGATTTTGGTCCACAGTGTCCACCTCATGATTATGGGTTGGATAGTGCTTGTTGAGGAGCTCACTTCGGTGCAGGAAGGCTTTGCCACAAATTCCGCAGACAAATTGTTTTTCGCCGGAGTGACTGTGTAGGTGAGCGGCAAGCTTTTTTAGGATTGATAAAGGCTTTGCTGCACACGTCACACTCGTACGCTTTTTCCACAGTGTGCGTGACTTGGTGTGCTTTCAAGCTGCCAGGCTGCGAAAAACCCCGGCCGCAGATTTGACAAATGAACGGCTTTTCGCCGGTGTGAGTCCGCTTGTGAGCTGCGAGTTTGCTCGAGTGTTTGAAGTTTTTCCCGCAGAACTGGCAGCTGTACGGCTTCTCGTGAGTCAGCTGGTGTTTGCTGAGGTCGCTCTCGTGAGAGAAGCTTCGGCCGCAACTTCCGCACACGAATGAGTGAGTGAGACAGTGGGACACAAGGTGCGTTTTTCGACTGAACGCCCGGTTGCAGATGTCGCACGTGTAGGGTTTGTCCTCCGTGTGGGTAGCTCGATGATTGTTCAAACTGCTCCGTTGCGAGTACGCTTTGCCGCAGATTTCACAGCTAAACGGCTTCTCGCTACTGTGCATCCGCTTGTGAGTCGCAAGCTTGCTGCGAAAGTCAAACGCTTTGTCGCACACTTCGCACTTGTAAGGTCGGCTGTTGGTGTGCGAAAGCTTATGCTTGTCCAGATCACTCTGCTGCGCAAATGCGCGACCGCACAATCCACAGATGAACGGTTTGTCGCCCTCGTGGGCCCGTGTGTGGACTAGGAGGCTACTCTTGCGGGTGTACGCCATTCCACAAATGTCACATGCGTGCGGTTTTTCGTCGGAGTGGGTGCGGTGGTGGTTTTTTGAGGCTGCCCTTTTCAATAAAGCCCTTGCCGCAGATTGTGCACGTGTAGGGTCGTTCCCCAGTGTGGACACGTTGGTGAATGGCCAGCTTGCTGGAGTGCAGATACGCCTTGCCGCAGATATCACAAACGTAAGGCTTCTCCGGTTCATCTGGGGCTGGAACTTGAAGTACATGTACATGTTCGTCCTCCATCTCAAAAGGGCAGGCTGAAACCTATCCTACACGAATTCCAAACTTCAGGGATTCATGCAGTTTCCTACAAAAACAAACATTAACATTTTATGATTTATGAATTATCAGACATCAGATTCAGAGATGATGTAATGAATATTATTATTTGTAATTTGTTGGCGGGAATTTTGCTTAACACAAAAAGAACAGGAATTTCTGTGCAAGATTTTACTCTTTGAAAACAATGAAAATGCCTACATGTCTGCTTGTTCAATTGTATAATAACATAAATAGGCTATGCTACTGTAGCTTGAGTAACTCCAGCTGACATGCTCATATTCATTCACATGTGAATGAATATGACATGTATGAGCATGTCAGCTGGAGTTACTCAAGGTAGCCTACATGTAATACTTGTTTTATTACAGTTTACACTGTCCATGTCCCATCAGATCATTACTTATTTTATGTTTAATCATATTTCAAACGAAGTGGCTATCGTTACGGCAGTCGTTGTCTAGCGCCCTCTACGATACTTTTTTGATACGCACGCAGGTATATAATTATTTGTTTCCCCACGTTTTAGCGAGCAGTGCGACAGCTCAGTCGATAGTGGGTAGGACTTTGCACCACGAGGTTGCGGGTTCGAATCTCAGTTTTGTACTCGAATTTTTTTTCCTTTTCTAACCTGAGGCTTTGGAGGATTTTTTTTAAAAGGGAAATAAAGTCTGAATTTCATAACGTTCAAATTCACTTTTTCCTTCTAATTTTATATTTTCTTGTCATGTTTTTATAAAAGTTGCAGTCTACCGTAACGATAGAAAATAGGAAATGCGTTACGGCTGCCGTAACAATAGCCACTGCGTATTTTAAAATCTAATTTTTGTGTGAAAAAAAATAAAACGAGTCGAGTAGGGCCTAATTTATGTACATTTTGCTGAACTTATTGTAACATTATGAATAAGTATACGAATAATAAAAAGTTCCAAGCTACGTGAGGCTCTTTGTCCTACCTTTTCACTGTCGTTTTTGAAGAAATATTTTCGTAATGACAATGAGGAACTGCAACCTCAACTGTGCAACTAGGCTACATACATTATGTACAGTCAATAAATACTGCACTGCAACAAAGTGTACTGTGTTGTGCCCATTCTTGAAAATCACGCATTCTCGAGAATGGGCATGCACATTCTTGAGAATGTGCAACTGGATCCTTGCTCAATCTTGGCAAAAAATAACTCTTCCAGATTGAGCGCACATTCTTGAGAATGCGCGACAAGATAACGGTCTTGTCGATGCCGAGCACCGGCTGCGCTTGGCAAGTCTAGCTAAATCCTCGTTCACTGATTCTCAATAATTATACTGTTGCAACGCAAGGCGCTGAAAAGTAGAGTGGATATGATAAGTAAAGGCGTATAGATACGGGGGGGGGGGGCGGGGGACCGGGAAAATATAAGAGACATAATAATACTAGTGCAAATAATTCTGATTTTTGGGATAATAAAAGCGGGGGGGGGGACGTAAGAATGAAGAATGTGAAGAATGAGAATGAATACTGCGACATCCCATAGTGCTAATGCTATTTCCCATTTAAATTGCCACCAATTTATTGTTCACATCCCACCATAACGTCGCAGAGCTGGATTCTATCTAGTCAGAAGAGTAATTTTGGCAGCTTCTGGACATCGGGTTTTTTTCGTGGCACGCATATGATACATGCAGGGACTTGTAACTTGTCTAGCCTAAACAAAGCACTTCCCAGACTAGTTCCCAGTCCTCCGTTATTACAAAACTTCCCATAGTGGGCAGAAAAAAGCAATAATAACAGGTTTAATTTGATTCAAATTATCGTAGTTATACGAGTACAGAAGCATAGCACATTTTCTTTCCTCTTTATATGAATTGTTTCCCTTTTAACCGCTATACAATTCATTTAACATAATTATGTCGTGCAATGTTTGTTAAGATTGGGCAAAATTCATAAATTGTGCACGTGATATTCCCACCCAATCTTAAGAATGAGCGCTCATTCTTAAGAACGCGTGCTCGTTCTTAAGAATGGGCGCTCATTCTTAAGAATGCGCGCCCATTCTCGAGAATGTGCATGCCCATTCTCGAGAATGCGTGATTTTCAAGAATGGGCACAACATACTGCAACAAAGTGCAAGGATTTCTAATGTTGACGAAAACATGTTAATCTACCTGTGTGCAACCCGGGCTCCTCAATCAAAATCGAAGCTGGATTCAGTTCACCATTGTTGGCACCAGACTATTGAAAAATTGACTTGACCAAGTCCTCTCACTCTCGGCGAACCACATCTTCAATAACCGAAGGGGCGTGGCAACCACAAAGAGAGGGTGATGAAAATGTTGAATACCGACCAACTGACTGACTGAACAACCGACAGACTGACTTTCAAACCATTAATTGACAATAGATATATAAAAACAAGTTTATGCATGCATTATAAATTTGACAAACGAACAGACTGTTATCTATGTCAAACATAAAAACAGCATTAACACCACAAAATAGGCATTTTAAATGAAATGTTTCCCTTGAATGCTATTTTCAAAATTTATTTACAATTCGTTTAGCATGAGGTGTGCAAAACATAAATGACATTAAAAAAAAAAAAAAAGACACAAACATTGAATAACCAACCTATAAATACACCCACTTTGTCTGTGTTCACTAAAATAACTCAAAAGTGAGGGGCTGAAGTGACTTTTAATTTAAAATTTCAATTAAAATATGTACTTGCTGAACGACACATTCCTAATTGGGAATTTTGTTTTATTAATTATGTAGGCCAGCAACAAAGCCATTGTTAAAAAAAACTACAGACTTTGGGTGGCTTGTGCGTAAAGCGCTCGCCTCTCACCAAGGTGACCACGGTTCGAATCCTGGCCGCGGATCACATGTGAGTAGAGTTGTGCTTTGGTTCTCTCCTGTGCCACGAGGGTTTTTCTCCGGGCCCTCCGGTTTTCCTCCCTCCGGAAAAATCAAAAACTTTTGATCTCGGGCTGTTTATTATTAATTAATAATAATAATTATTCCTACAAATGTACTATTAGGGAGACACGTTAGCGTAGAAATTTCGATAGTAGGGAGACACGGGCTTAAAGGGAATATACATCATTTGCTTTTGCTGTAATTTTCAGAAATGGTTGGAATTGGGGGGTTGGAAATATAAAGCAAATATAGTTACACTGACTTTTTGGAGGTTTTGGGTTCGAAAATGCTATAAAAACCAAGAAAAACGATCATTTTCCTGTAGTCTGGTTCCCTGACTCCATATAAGAAGAAACAGAGCAGTTTACATACATTGGGGAATTGTAAGGTTAGGGAACCAGTCTAGCTGGCTCGTACCCGTTCATAGGTTTGTAATCGATTGTAAACAAGTGCGATGGTCAATTGGGGCCAGTGTTTGAAAAAAAAGCCAGTTGTTTCCAACGCTGATCGGCCGATCAGCGTTGGAAATTGATACAAAAATAACACTTTTCTTGAAAATGACAGTATACCAGGTGCCATAATTTTACAGGATGCTTTAGACTGTCATTTACCAACATCCTATTAAGGTATTTCGCAAAAACTTGGTAGTTTTATTTTTCGATGTTTGCAAATGTTGTATATTCCCTTTAATAGGTGTCTCCCTATTGGCGCAGCCCCCCTTTAGGGGAAAAATTTTGCTGTCGAAAGTAGGTTATATTTGTTGCTCGTGGTCTAATTAGTAAAAACACCGAAATTTGTGGGAAAAGGACAAGGGAATATTGGGTTAGGGCACATTTAATTCGGAAAATGTTTGTGCACAAGCCTATGGGAAAGTCTCCCTATTACCGGTAATTATTATTATTATTATTATTCATAAATACCTCAGACAGTTTAGCTATTCCTATTGGTCGAGAGCCCGTCACATGGCCGGTATTAAACGGATGATAAAGACATGGCTAGCTGGTCTTAAACACTTTTCCAGTGTCACAATAAAATGTGGACTCCTAAAAATCCAGTGCCTCTTACCGTTTCATTGGTTGAACGTTCACAATCCTCACGTAGGCATGCGCAACACTACAAGCGAGTCAGAAATTTATAGTTCTAAATTCAAAACGCAACGCCCCAGGTGCGTTCTGCGTGACATCGCGCAGAACATGTTACGCGCGCGTCAATCTCCATAAAAGGGTTGTTTACATCTTACTCGCCAGCTGAACACTCCATTATTTTGCTAGAGGGATGTTTCAAAAAGCATGAAGTGAACTTGTTGAACAAAATCGGGATTTTTTGAACGAATTATTTGAAATTTTTTTACGGATAAGGTATTTATGAATGGGAATAAATATGTGCTCGGTCGGTATTTATCACTCGTTTAATACCGCTTAGAGTCTGGGTGCTGATAATTACCCTCGCCTCCGGCTCGGGTAATTATCAGCACCCAGACTCTAAGCGGTATTAAACGAGTGATAAAAACCTCCGGAGCACACATTTATTCCCTTATTATTATACTGCCTCAATCACATTACTGGTATTTAGCACATCTCTGGTGTCCTACTTTTGGGGCAAATTTTACACATACATACATGTACATGTACTTGTCTTTGTCGCACAACAATGTTCTACGTTTTTTTTTTATAAATATACACAAATCAATGAGTGTGTTTACATTTACGTGACTAAGTCCTGCATCGTATCACTCATTCATTTGTGCGTATTTATAAAAAGCACGACATTGTCGCATGACAGTGTATGTGTATAGTGTACGCGTATGTGTAAATTGGCATTTAAAGTTGTTTCATCCTCTACAAGTTTTTTGTTTTCTTTGGGAAAAGATCATTGTTTTTCTGCTTGCATCACATCAATGATAATCTGTGCATCACCGGTTTCCTTATCCCACAGTTGCTTCATTATCTCCTCGTCTTGGTGCGCCTCTTCCATGCAGTTGCGGAACCGCGACAGACAGAGGTGCCAGCCACAGCGCGTACAGCGCGTGTGCACGCGACGCAACTCCTGGTGTAGCGACCAGCAGAGGGCGCACTTGCGGCTCATTTGGCTCCTGGCCTGCACGTACTTGTGCGATTTGCGGTCCTTGCTGTCATCTTCATCCGCACTGTCGCTTTGATCGGTGGACGTCGAGTCGTGACTTGTGTCTGCTTCAGTCATGTCAGTGTCTGAGCCCGACTGTACAACAGAATCAGGTTTACCCAGCAAAACCAAGCCCTCTATAATCTGTTCTAAGGAATCTGATTCAGTTAGCATCCCCTCTGATGCGGAGTAAAGACTCCCGATGTCTTCGGATGTTGAAAAGTAAACAGCTAGATGGAGGTAGTGGTAAAAGAACGATTTCCCGAGGACATGGCCACTTGAACATTCTGCGGAGTCTGAGTTGGTAGTATCAGGGGTTTTGGTGAAAAGGTCTTTGTAAACCAATTCTTCGCATGGTATGAAGACCTCTTGCCAGGATTGCGGCTTTATCATTCCGTCTTCACTTACATCCTTGATTGACAGGAGTTTTGCAGGAGTGGCTCTGGCAGTAGTCACATTTAGAGAGGTATCATGCCATCTCACATTGACGACATTTGAGATGTGTGCTGTCTTCGGATCACCATTGTCGTCACTTTCAACAGAGGGCACTTTCTTTGAGCCACTCAATGCATGGTCCAACTCTTTTTCACCCTCTTCACAATTTTCGGCCCTCAATTTGGAAGCATTTTGCCTGTTGGCCGACTTTGGCTCAGTCCGTTTTGTCCCAACGATCCGGTATGATTGTTCACTTTCTAGCGCCGTTAGTGTTCCATTGCAAGGAGTCTCACCCGAAGTTGACTTCCCCAAATTCAATCCGTCTACTTCCTCACCAGACTTCCTTGACGACAAGTTCAATGTTCCATCCAAAGATACTTCACAAGACGGTGAAAGTATCTTCATGTAGTTACGTATATCTCCCTGATATCCTTGTCCATCTCTCAACGAGATCTCAGCATAACACTCAAACTCAAACTGAGCAAAGAAGACCTTAAATATTCTCTCCAATTGATCAAAGGCATATTTCAGTTCCTTCAAAGGGGACCCATCTTTAACAAAGGCGGATTGTGTCTGTTCAGTATGGTTTTCTGTTCCAGTTTGTTGGTTTGGCTTCTCAACTGCAGTGTCTTCTTCCGTGTGATCGGTGAGTCGGAGAACTTGCAGAAGCGTGAAGAAGCGACTGCGCTTCATTAGATCTCGTGGCCAGTGGCTCCCCTGATCTGGCTGCTCCCGCCAGAAGGCTCCGAAGCAAACATCCTGCTGCCCTCGCATGATCAAGACGACAGCGAGGAAAGCGTACATCTCCTTCACTGTCACCTCTTCCCAAGAGCCGTCCTCGCTAGCGAATGAGGGCTCCTCCAGAATCCTCTTCCAGGCATCTACGTTGGTCAAGTCGCAGATTTTGGTGAGGAGATCGACGGTGAAGAAAAGGAAGAATGACTGTAGAGGCCTGCAGATGCCTTTCTTGAGGTCCTGAAGGATGGCGTTTGGGTCGGCGTGAGGCGATGGAGGTTCCAGCTTTGGCTTGCTGAGTGGGGGCTCCTTCTGGCAAATGTTTGAGACATTTGACTGTTCTCTGTAAAGAGTAGAAATAGTAATAAAAAGCGCTTAAAATACCCACAGAACTGAGTCTAATTAACATATCCAAGTGCCTCCATTAACCCCCCCTAGTATTCTGCACTTCACAACCTTTCAAGTTTTGCAAAACCACTTTTGTCCACATAGTTAGCACCTACACTTCAAATTCCTTCAGGTAATCTTATGGAGTATGGATGACACTTTAAGTCCTGTAGCTGTATACTCCCCAGGGAGTTGAGAATGTCTTAGGAATGTTTTATTGGCCCAATGAGCATTAGCCTATTTGAGGTATGCCCGACACAATGAGCTCCGTGCGCCAACAAAAGAGGGCGCCCTTTTACCTAGCAACAACGTCCCATGGGCAGGACATTAAGCTGGTTGATGCACACCGTTCCTTGTGTGTGACGCACGTACACCAGGGGATTTGTACTATGCACACGCAGTGGTAAGGCTGCGCGTCGCAACAAAATTGCAGTCAGGCAAGATGGCATCAGTCGGTGACCCCCAACTGTACTTTCTTTGCCGGTGAGGGGGTACTTGTGAATGGGGCGGATAGGAGGGCGCTGTTTGGTTTGAGTAAATACAAAAGACTTTACCTAAAGCAAACAGCGGCCTGCTATTGTGTCTGCCATACCTTGAAAAGGCTAATGGTAACAATGATGTAGCACTTTGAGTACCAAAACTGGTCGATACGTGCGCTATGGGCTCCGTGCGCCAGTAAAAGAGGGCGTTTTTACCCTTTTTCAGAGCCCCGTGGACAGGACACACTGGTGTGCATACTGGTTCACGCGCGTATAGCACGAAGTACGCACTACTCATTTTATTCTAAATGCCCACAAAGCCATAGCGTCTTCGTGTGAGCATCAGGCATCGGCAGTGCGTTCGCATGTCTCTGGTTCCCAGACCAGTTATCTATTTCTGATGAATCGTATATTCATCAGAAATACAAGTCGGAATCTTTTGGTCAGGGAACCAGACTATGGTCTCCCCCAACTCTCCCTTTCTTGCCGGTGAGGGGGCACTTGCGAACAGAGCCCATATAAATACACATTTTTACATTATTATCCAGACCAAGATTATTACCTTGGTCGCTTTCGGTTCTTCAATGCCATTGACAGTTTTATCTCATCTCCGTCACAACCTCGTTCCGCCTCGCTCCCTGTCCCATCACTAGACTTGAGCGTGCTCCTTTCTCTTCCACTGTCAACCTCTATCTCGTTGGCCGTCGTGCTGAGCTGTCTGGAGGAAGGTTCGGACCACCAAGTCGGAGTAACGGACGATGCGCTGGAGTCTTCATCACAAGGACTCGGGGAGAAGTTTGGACTGTCGCTGCGAACCCTGCATTGTAATAAAGGGAAATCATTGATAATTGTGTTATGCATCATATGCCAACCCCCCCCCCCCCACCACTATTTTGTTCAAATTTGGCACAGTCGGGTGGGAAAACTGTCTACAGTGGCCTTCAACAACAACGACGCACCACCATATGCATGTGCATCACTAAAGGCAACAAACTATCCACAATGCCTTGATGTTGAACAATCGTCATGAATGGCAATTCCAGCTTTACGTAATGTCCATGCTTTTTAACCAGTTCACGCCCGGATTATTTTGACAAGAATGGAACAAGGCGCGGGATTACTTTTCACTCGACCTCAAGCCAGGCGGTTGAAGCCATCACCCTCGGGCAGCACACTCATAATTATTTCTGGCCTCGCTCGCTGACAGATATTTCCGGCCTCGCTCCCTGCGTGTTAATCCGTTGTCCATTCCGAATACCACAAAACCTTTGCGTGTATACACATCATCTAGCGCCAACTGGTTAAAGAGCTCGCTGAATAAATCTGACAATTTTTCAAATCTTATACATCCATCATCTAGTAATGGTCAAGGAGATTACAGACTAGGAGCTTTGGATCATTTCTCTGAATCATTAATTAGATATCAAGTTTAATTGGCTCCGTCACGGACGTTACACTTCTTTTCATAGTGCTGGAATTGTCCAAATATTCTGAGTTAAGATACTTCTAACACCCTTGAGAACAGCAGTGGCAACAAGAAAGCATTTTCACATTTTAAAATCGGAATCTTACTGCTGCTGAACAGGTTCACATTCTGAGTCCCACCATGGTGATTCGTCAACGTCTTGCACATCTCGCGCCGAACGGCGACCGTCAGAGTCGGACCACCACGATGGATCTGCAGGGGATGAACATGGGGCTGGACTACCTTCAGTGTCAGACGAAACACAATCTGAGGACATGGTCCGAGAGCACAGGACTTCACTTGTGGTTGACAATTTTCTGCAAAATGAAATCAAGTATATTCTCATTAGGTATTATTATAAGATGGAATTTTTGAATATCTTAATGAATGGCAATTCCAGCATAACCGATCCCGTTAGCTTGAATGCCGTTACCTCGGTGGTCCAGTTAGCTCTGTGGTCGAGTGGTAACATCTGCAATAGAAAGCAGGAGGTCGTGGGTTCGAGTCCCACCCGAGTGATTTTTTCCAACTTTCACTCGGGATGTAACACACTGAGTATACAGTGTTTAAACGGCGGTGAAGGGCAAAACCTAATTTGATTCATTAGGTATTGATTTTTAGGCAGTGTAAATTTGATAGTAAATCGGTCCTAGACCTAAATTGGGGCACTAGAACTCTTTTTTTTTTTATAGAACTTTGACTTTGGTCGGTCGTACTAGTACAGTCCCTAAATTTTGTTTCACTCTCGTATCGGCAGTCCCACTGAACATGCATAGTGAAAGATTGCCGCCGGCAAATCTTTAGTAAGTGTTAGCTTACCGGCATTACCTCCGGCAATATCCACTATCTTTTGTTATTAGATTCTTTCCACCAAACTAGTATGTCTCTTATTATTTCCCCCAATGCGCAGAGTAGACTCTACTTTACATTGTTTTATCTTTTCCCTAGTGAATTTGCATTGCCACAGTATTTAAGTACGGCCCAAGAATTAATCAGTGAATGAGGATGCAGCTAGACTCGCCAAGCGCAGCCGGTTCTCAGCATCGAAAAGATCACTTCTCTTGTCATGCTTGTTGCGCATTCTTCTTAATCTTAAGAATGTGCGCTCAATCTGGAAGATTTTTTGTTGAAGATTGTGCAAGGATCCAGTTGCGCAATCATAAGAATGCGCAAGCACTTATGATTGCGCAAATGGTAAGAAAGCGCACAAAATATTGCGCCTATCAATATCGATCATTATCAATTTGTCAATCAATCATGTCAAATGTCCCCCCCCCCCCTCCCCATATAATGTATAGCCATGTTGAAAAACATATTAGGCCCTATCATGATACTGCATCTTTTCAAAAAGTTGTCGCTCAGTTTACCTCCTTGATTGAGTCACTTTTCCGTTTTCGATTGGAGTCCAACTCGATCGGGCGATCTCGAATTCTCGACACGGCTAGTGCACCGCGCGCGAAACATGTGTTTATTCACTCTATCCTGCCAATGGAGGGCGCTAGTATTATTTCCGCTCGGATAGCACTCAGTCCACGCCCCCTTAAAATCAGGCATCCAGACCAGATCTGGACATTGCCGGTTCCCACTATCACTATTCAACGTTGAACTTGTAGTATTTAAGCTGTTTTTATGTTTTGTTTTGTATTGTTTTGCTTTTAATCTGAAAGTAAGCAGGACGGGATGAATGTCCACCCCCCCCCCCGATAAAATAATACAGTGGACTGACAGTACTAGCGCCCTCTATTGATTGTACAACTTAATGATGAATATTCATGAGGAGATGTGTCATCTGACAAATTTATCAAAACAAGATGGCAGCCAACGGGGGTGTGGGATTCGTTCGGACTCGAAGGGAAAGTACTTTCCGGCGGATGATTTCCGATATTATCATGGAGAGGGGAAAGGCATGCTGCCCCGAGAATGTCGAAGGTAGCGTAGCTGACTCGCAAACGGGTACGCGAGGTGGGAACAGCACGACAATGTGTTGTGTTGGTGTTTGGTGGTGCCTGGTGGTGCCACTGGTGGTTCGCACTTGCAACATTTCCGTGCTTTCATGCATCGCACGCATCTCTTCCATCATGTCCATTCATTTTCACATGACCGTCCATGATATAATCAGGGTGACCGTTTTAGCCGATTTTCGGCGAACTTTGACAGAATTTTTTGTTAAAAAACGAGTTTGACAGAAAATTTGACAGAATGGATTTGTTGGCAGATTTCTGGCAGAATTCTGCAAAAATGGTTAGGCCTATTTGACCAAAAAACAAAACAAATTTGAACAAAAAGTGTACATTTGTTTAAAAAAGCTTCAGTCCTTCCAAACAAACCCTTGCACAATGGGGCAGGTTGACTAGTCTAGGTACTGAGGTTCACTGGGAAACGGACTTCGTCGTGGCAGGATCCGCGTTTGCCGAAATTTACCAATAATTTCACAACATCTTTATGTGACTAGAATGTAATTTGAATCTGAATTAAGGCAATACTACCAATCTGTTTGTGATTGTAAGTGTTTATAGTATATTTCCAGTATTTCTGGGGAATTTGGCAGAATTTTGATAAATCTGACAGATTTTTGATGTGCATTTAGCAGAATTTGGCTGGGACCTTACGGTCACCCTGGATATAATCACAAGTCTTGTGTGATACATACATGCCTACACACTCATACTTAACAGAGAGGACGGAAAGATTCCCATATCTGGCCATCAGTAATTGTTCCCTTAAATGACCTCTCAGCCATCAGAAAGTGATATATCCTAAAAAGTCCAAATTAACATTTTTACTGAGAACACACTTAAATTTTTTTAGACCAGTCCCATAGGGTTTGTGCACAGGGTGACGTGATGGCCAGATATGGGAATCTTTCCGAGAGGACATGCATTTTTGTCGTTCTGCTTGTTTTCAGTTGGAATCCCACGTGTGGTGTTTGTGCATGGCTTGATTTTGTCTGCCGGTTGTTTTGTAAAAAAAAAAAATGCAAGTTGTTTTTGTTTGTCAATGTTTGTTCAAATCAATCATTTGTGGGAGTAGCTATAGTCTATAGGGCAATAGGCCTTAATATGAAATTGAAATACAGAAATTGCAAATTCGGCACTGCCCCCCCCCCCCCCAACTTTGGCTTTAAAGTTGCTGCTGATAAAAATCATGTGGTAATCGTGTAGCTTAGGACACCTCCATTTTTACAAGTTCCATTCAAAAAAAAACTTGCAAATTTATGACAGTCAATTCCAATGACTGTTGCAGCCTCAAACAGTTTTTTTTTTCTTTCAGATTAACTTGTGTTTTTTGTTATTTTGATAAGTAGGCCTACTTTTGAACAAAATGTGACTTTCTTATCTTTTTGGCACTCCATATTGTTTACTCCAATGTTACACATTGATGTTTATTCAGTCACTAACAACTTCAGTGACGCTCATCTTTGCTAAATATAACAGCTTTTGACAAGTAACAGTCCTTCTGTTTTGAGGCGTGCGATCACACCCCCACGCCATCACACGCCTAAAAGCTTCCTGATCAGTGCGAAGAATCGCACGCCTGAATCCCTCTGTACCGCACACCTCAGCATACATTTACGGCATAATTATACTTCATAATTTGTGAAGAATAAAGTATGTCGGTGAAGAGAAAACTGTATTGTAAACCAAGATTAATATTTTGAAAAACAATACCAGATTGTTCAGTCCCCGCTTGGACCACAGAATCACACGCCTAGAAAAATCACACGCCTAGAAAAAATCACACTCCTAGAAAAATCACACGCCTAGACAAATTCAGGTGTGCGTTTTTCCACACACCTGTGATTTTCAAATCAGAAGGACTGAAGTAATATCTGCTAAAACCTCAAGTTACATGTAGGACTAGGAGTACTCTTAGAACTATGACCTTAGTTCTAGGAATAATGTAGGAGTACTACACGTTTTAACATTTCAATTCAAACCTTTGATAAAGATACTTTGCTGAAAGAAGATCTGAATACAAAAATTCCGAGTCCACTGTTTGGGTCATAAAAATAAACATTTCCACCTTCGATATCCCCTAGAATTTTAAATAACCAACAGAGTGGCATCTGGATACTGCATTCTTTCCACTTTTGCCTCACGGTTGGTATTTCAGGCCATCTGATTTAGAGGGAAAACAGATACAAGAATATCATGCAACTTTTAACTCTAACCTTCCCAAATCCTCCAAAATCCTCTTTGCAAAATGGAGGATTTGGCAGGATTGAGGCTATGTTGCAAACTTGTGTGGCTGAGTTTGGAGGATGCGCTGTGTGAAGGTCTTGGGCCAGACCGTGTGTTGCTCAGCTGTGCATAAATTTTGGCCACGATTATACATGTACTTGAAATCCTCCGCACTGCTCCAGGATGTCACTGGCTCTCCTTCAACATATTGACAGTGATTGCTTTAGGGTTTTGCAGGATTGAGGCAGTGGACACCCTTGCACATGTTGCAAGGACCACATTCAAGAAATAACAGAGGATTTTGCAGGATTGAGCCTGTATGCAATTTTTATATGGAGGCAGTTGGAGGATTTTTGGCAGGATTGAGGTTGCATAATCAAATAGTTAGTTTGTTTTGTAATTCGTTGCAGATGGTTTTGTGCACATTCCAATGGAAGTCAACTGTTTCTGGACGCAAGTCTTTGCCCAGCATTTCCTCACAGCGTCGGACGAGCACAGAGACGACATGCTGTTTTTTGTTTATCGTCAAAGTTCAGCAACCAGAGCTGAAAAGCAGGCAAGTTTACAAAATGTAGGACAAGTAAAAAAAGAATAATAGTTCAGGCCTAGGTTATACTTGAAATCCTCTGCACTGCTCCGGGGTTTCACTGGCTCTGCCTCAAAATATTAAAAGTGATTGCTGGAGGATTTTGCAGGATTGAGGCAGTGGTCACCCCTCCAAGGGCCACATTCAAGAAATAACGGAGGATTAGGCAGGATTGAGGTTGCATCCTAGCTAAACATACGTGGTTATAGTGCATATTGATAAACATTAATTTACAAATGTAGTACCATTAATTGATAAAAAAAAAAATCTGTGGTATGAACCCTCGTCATTTGTGCCAAAATCCATTCACATTTTTTGGTCAAGATTTTTTTTTTAAAGGACACAAATGAAAGAAAAAACTATACATGTATGTTCTCACCGTGTATTTTTCTTTTGACAATTTCTTTTATTTTCATTGTTGTTCGGCCCAATAATTTCTGCAGAAAGAAAAGGTAAACAACAAAAATATTTAGTGCTTTTGCTGAGGATAAAGTACCTGCTCAGTTGAATCTTGGGAAAAGGTTTCTTCGGGCCTTCTTGAATTCTAATCTGCTTCTTTAAAAAGTAATGGACAAATCTTTCTTTTTTACTTAGTCATATGAATGCTTTAAATGGTCTTTTCAACTTCTTTTGCTGCGACCAAAATACATGAACCTTCGCTATGGAATCTTTGGAAAGGGTTGTTTATTTCTGTATTGAATGACAAACTGCTTACATTTTACGGTTTATATGGAAAGAATCCTAAGTTTCTTTTAAATCTGGTATTTTAAAAGAAAACTCTTCTTTTCAATAGCACTGAATGCTTCTTCTTCTGAAAAAAAACCACACTTTTGAATCATCATAATTTTAGAATAGATTTCTACATTCTATCTTAAGTTACAAACTGCAGTTTAATCTCGGTCTGAAGGTGGCTTGCGGGGTTTTCCTCTAGTTCTAAAAGGTGTCCTCTTTCAAAGGCTCCGTGAAAATTGAGCCCAGAAAAGCGACATGGGAAATCGGTGGAAGTGCCTTTTCATTGGGTTTGATTTCCGAGTTTGATTTCTGAGGCAGTATGGATAAAGTTGCTTGGGTTACACGTACATGTAGCTTCAAATGTACACACTTGGTGATGGGAACGGCTTTGCATTAACACTTCGCCAGTTTTTTGTGTGTGTGAGGCACTATATTTGCCCCTAATTTTTATTTTAGAACTATGCTCTGGTTGCCTATTTTTTCTTTGTTAGGAGAACATGAGTTGCTCCTCAATAAGGGTACATGTATTTGGCGAAATGTAATATTTTGTTGCTCACGCCAGGCGGCCAAATTATTGTATCAAATTAGGTTTTGCCCTTCACCGACGTTTTTTAAACACTGTATACTCAGTGTGTTACCTCCCGAGTGAAAGTTGGAAAAAATCACTCGGGTGGGACTCGAACCCACGACCTCCTGCTTTCCAGTGCAGATGTCTTACCACTCAACCACCGAGCAAACGGGATCGGTTGGCTGGTTCGAATCTGATGTACATAGCAGCGGGTACCGCATAAACTATTATAAGATGGAATTTTGCGTCGGGGTGATATAAAAAAAAATTCCATCTTATATATAGTTAAAAACGTCGGTGAAGGGCAAAACCTAATTTGATTTATATCACCCCAACGCAAAATTCCATCTTACAAATTATTGTACTTATCTGTAATGCCCAGTGACAAAATGATTAACCAACTGCTGAACTGAGTCTACCGGTACTTGCTACATGTAGTTTAACAAGCCCTGTGTACATTTCTTAAGTAGAAAACATTTAAGAGTGCAAAGCTTAAGCATGTTAAGTAGTCTTGGGTCTTTTGTTTCTTACGACCTACTGTGATTTGACTTGATTGACTTGTGATTTGACTTGTAATTGATAAGTTTGCAATTTGATTTTTGATTGACCGTACGTACTGTATAGGACCTGACTTCTTATAATTTGACTCAACTAATGTTTAATTTGTCTTGTGATTGACTGGTGATTTGACTTGTGATGACTGGTGGTTTGACTTGTGATGACTTGTGATTTGACTTGTGATTTGACTTGTGATTGAGTTGTGATGACTTGTTACCTGACTTGTGATTGACTTGAGATTTTACTTGTGATCGAGTGTGGGGTTGACTTGTGCTTGACATGTTACCTTACTTGGGATTTGACTTTTGATTGACTTGCGATTAAGTTGTGAAAAACAAACTTTTAAAAGTTTTACCGTGCATGATTTAAAATATTTTAAAGATTCTTGTTTGTTACAAGAGTCTACTTGATTTTTCTGTTTGACCTCTGATCTTATCCTCCTATCCAGACTAGAATGGAAGTCTTCCGTAAGGATTCTAAGAATCTACCGAGTCTTGGTGATCCCAATATAGACTGGGAGGAATCGGTCTACCTCAATCTCATCCTGCAACAGGTGAGGAGTCTATAGTACTCAGGTGCCGCAAGTCGCGTTGGAATCGTTTGGTCAACAACGTTGAGTCGAGTGTAGTCATAAAGTCAAGTTGTCTTCATGTACGAGACAATTTGAGTCACTGACATTTTAATGCCCTCTTTATGTAGTATCACACATGTAAGATAACTTTCAGCCTATTTTTGTTTTTATTTCTGTCGTGCACGATCTGGCTTTGGCCTTGCCGGTTCTCTTGCCTTATTCAAGTCGGATACAGGGGCATCACCAGACCAATTCAATTGGGAAGGGGAGGGGGGTGGGTTTGACAACAAATTTGCCAACGGTAGCCAGGAATTGTTTTCTGGTCAGCCAGCTGTTGCAAAATCCCACCTAAAAAAAGGGGGGGGGGGTGTTGCTGCAAACGACCTTGGACACTATTGGACAATAGGTTTCATAGTTTTGCACAATTTTACCGAAGAGCATAATGGGACACGAATATTTTTTTGTGGGGGGAGGGGGGGTAGGGGACACCCTGCGTCGCCCCGCTAGCAACACCCGTGCTCAAATAACACAGAAACTGAATTTAGATTTCTACAAGGACCATTAAGTGAGATTTTCTAAAGAAAAGTGAATCAAGTCTAATCATTTGCTTGCAGTGACTTGAGTCAAGTTATTAGCTTGTTTGACTCATATGAGTCAAATCACTCATAATTGTGACTCGGTTGGACTTGAGTCAAGTCACTCACTCAAAACATTACAACTCTGTGCCCTCTCCTGCAAGGAATCCATATTGAAGCTGGCCCTAAACTTGGCTCTCCTCAATCACTTTGTTTCTTCTCCTCCCTTACAGTATGACTACATCTTGACCTGTGCCGTCTGCACCAAGACGGACGACAGTCTGTCCATCCTCAAGAAGCACTCCCAGCAGGTCTACGCCTCGCCTTCCAAGCGACGCATGGACTCCAAGGGGGAGGAGAGCGCAGTGTCTTACCCAAACATCTTCTTCATGATCGACAACTTTGACGAGGTGAGCCTTGTTACATGTGCATTGCTAAGGGAATAAAAGTGTTTTCGTTAGGTATTATAACACTCTGTTTAAGACCGGTGGGAGTCTGGATGGATAATTAACACCCATCCAGACTCACACTGGTCTTAAACAGAGTGTTTAATGCCGACTGAACACATATTTATTCCCATTCAGAAAGACCTTTTCGGTCAAAAAAACAAATCTTTTCGGTCCAAAAATCAAAACAAGTGAAAAAACTAGACGTTGCCAACCATTTTGTTCAACAATTTTACTTCATGTTTTACGAAACACCCCTCTGACTATAATATGGAATGCCCCTCCACAACTCGTCACCTTATAAGGACATTGGCGTGTGCGTCGCGCGTACTGCGCGATGTCGCGCAAAACGCAGCTGGGCTGGTGTAGTGTGAATTTCGGACCATGAAATACTGATTCACCATGTTCACTGGTAGTATTGCGCATGCATACATGAAGAATGTGAACGTTCAACCAATGAAACGTTAAAGGGCACCTGATTTCATGGGAGTCCAAATTTCATGTGACACTGGAAAAGCATTGAAGACCAGCTAGCCATGTCTTTGTCATCCGTTTAAGACCGGCCACGTGACGGGCTCTCGACCAATTGGAATGCGTAAACTGTCTTAGGTATACATTTATGAATAACCAATTATGTTGAGTTGCTGAGAATAGAAATGTACTCAGCACAGAAGTTATTTGCTAAGCAGAAACAGTTAGCAGCCAAAATGTCATGTAATTTATATTTCTTGTGACTGGTGCTCGGCAGATATGTGCTTGGCACACAAATCCGCTTAGCGAAACTTTTATGAGAAGAATGAAATTTGGCCCGGGACCCTGTTTCATTGCACTAGGCAGAAAACATTGCTTCTAACTAAAGGCAATTTTTTTTTTTTTAATAGTTGTGCTTTCGTTTACCTGAGGCCAAAAAAAAAAAAGTCTCCGGTTTCTGGTATGCGCGCGCGTCGCCGTAGCCATGCGCGTCGGCAAAATGAAAAAGTTTTTTTTTTCAATACAAGATGATGTCTCAAGACCGCCAAACTCACTGGTTTGACTGGAATCCTGCTGCTGCACAATTTTAACGTGTTTTTAGATGGGGTTATGATCGAGAATAAGCTTTATGTGGCCTCTCTGGACTCCCATATATTTGCACTAAGTTTAGTCGGGCACCATTTGCAGTCATCAGCCGACATTTGAAGCCAAAAAAAAAAAAAAAAACAGGAAAAAAAAAAAAAAAAAGCCGCGTCGCCGCACCACTTTTGGGGCAAGCTCCATACCAGAAACCGGAGAATTTTTTTTTTGGGCCTGATCTACCCTATTTTTACGGCCGAACCCTAAATTTGTTAACGGCAAGTCAAAAAATACATATTAAAACCCCCCCAAATATTGTGTTGTCTTTTTCTGTCACACACAAAACCAATTTCAGACCTACATGTGATATGTACCGACCCTATTTTTGAAAGGTATGTACATTGTAATCGCAGCGGAACTACCGGTATTATTTTTCTTGGCCTAAGAGAAATTCTTGTTAATGTACCTCTGACATCTATAATTGTGTAATTCTTATTCACTCCTCTATGTATTCTTCCTCCAAGAGTGATTATGTGAAGCAAACGATCTACCCAACAAATACAAATTAGTTTGAAGTCATTCTTAAAGAAAATATACAACATTTGCAAACATCGAAAAATAAAACTACCAAGTTTTTGCAGAATACCTTAATAGGATGTTGGTAAATGACAGTCTAAAGCATCCTGTAAAATTATGGCACCTGGTGTGAAGTCATTTTCAAGAAAATGGTATTTTTGTAAAAAATTTCAAGCGGTGGTCGGCCGACCACCGTTGGAAAAACCTAACTATTTTTCAACTACTGCTCCAAATTTACCATTAATTCAGTCCAAATTTTGTTTGCTATTGGTTACATGTTCATGAACGGGTGCAGGCCAGCTAGACTGGTACCCTTACCTTACAATTTTCCGGCATCTAAAATTGATCCATTTTATATTTAGTGGAGTCAGGGAACCAGACTACTTGAACAGTTTTGTTTTTCTTGGTTTTTCCAGCATTTTCAAACACAAAACTTCAAACATGTCAGTGTAACAATATTTGATCTATTATACTAACCCCTCAAATAGTTCATTTCTGAAAATTACAGCAAAAGCCAATGATGTACATTCCCTTTAATGACACTTGAATGGCAAACTTCAAAGTTCAGAGGTGACACTGACAGGAAAAAATGTCACTCTTTGAACCCTAAATTCATCTAGAATGACCCAAGTCCAACAACAAAAACGTTCCATCGGTTTGGTGCACCAGTGGTTTATTTTTGAGGATTTGGATGAGTTCCTTCATGCAGCAAAAATGCATACGTGTAAGGAGTTAGGGTCAATAATCAAATAATAAATGAAACCCTGCAAACACAACTGACAGGGAAAACATTTCAGAGCCCGATATTTTTTTTTCGTCTTCATTGCCCCGCCGTGAGATCACACACAGAAATAATTCCCATCCATTGATTCTGCCCCAAGGGCCTTTAAATTCTATCCACTCGGATGCCCAGGACCATTGAACTATGCGTACGTTAAGGCTTATCGGGTTTACTTAAACATCGGCTCAGACGTTTCTATATTTTTTTTTAACCGGACTGCTTGATCATCAATTTGCCCCAGGTTGGATCTTCGGGCTGACTTCATACATTAATGATGAGATATAAAATGCACTCTGCCATGACGAAATTTTTTCCCAACCGCCATATGTCTGAACCTAATGGTAGAATAAATTAGCAAAATATAAAAAAAAATTGATGTAATTGATTTTCTCTTGTGTATATTTCACGAGTGACACAATTTTTGTGTGCTTAGATTAATACCCTCCTGCTGTTTGAACAGTCACAGACAGTCAAAAAAAGTCTATCCACTTTCCCTGCCATGCCTTTTACACAGGCTAGTCACCAATAGTCAGATTATATTTCAGAATTTTATACTATGATTTATGACTGGACATTGTTTTATTGCAGTCTTACATGTATGTTATATCTGCTGTATGTCTGTCTAGAAAAAAAAAACCGAAAAGAACAAACAGAATGAAACCTAAATGAATAATGAGTTTACATTAATGTTTGCTCAATCTGTACCGGTTTTCCCCAAACTACGATACAATGTGCTTAGCTTTTTTCGGTCGGTAAATGTTGATGGTGCCTTGCAGGGCTACCAGTTTATAATACAGACTTTAATACATGAATACAAAAATATATACCAGGATATGAAATATTCATGAAAGTTCAAACTCAACAGCCTTGTGCCTTTTTACATGTAGTTCAAGCTTAACATATACCGGGTAAAACACGTTTTGACCAAAGTTTGTTTTGCACAAATATTACATTGTACATGTACATACATATTTGTGTAAGGCTAGTTTACACGTCTATGGAAATTTCCTGCATCTAGAATGTCCAGTGCGTATTGCATGTGCTGCCACTCAAAACTCATGAGATACACAGAAAATATGCAAAAGTACATGTACTTCCGACCTGCCTTGGGGCAAACTAGACTTGATACATATGTGTACATGTTTATGTACGGTACGTGTCTTGAAAATGCTAGTTGGTCCTGAGACAGAATGAAACATGAGCTGCACACTGCATATTTCAATGTGGAACAAATGTATGTAGGGTTCAAGTGTACGCTTGCTTAAAGAGTGCACACGATCAGTTTTCTGTTGTTGAACAGCCAATTGTTTGTTTTATTGAAACATGTTCCTGACTTTTCCTATAGGTGTTTGGTGACGTTACAGTTGACGAAGGCCAGCTTATATGCGTGGAGGTTGTAGCAGCTGAGAAGGAAGGGCAGTACCGTAGCGTCATCTTCCTGGGATCCGTCAGATATGAGTCGCTCCGACGAGTCTATGAAGCCAGGGTGAGTCAAGCAAATCTCATTCCTATAGCTATCCCTAACAGTCCTGAATCCTCCAATTTCAAAATGATTTTGCACACCCCCTAGGGAGTTAAGGATAACACATGATGAATTCTCACTGGATATCACAGGCTGAAGTCATCTTGGGTGCCCCATGGTGCATGAATGTACATTGCGAATTGTGTAGTTTGTGATGTGTACATTGCGTGGCATGGGCGGCACAGTGCATAAAGCTCCTGCCTCTCACCGCTGTGGCCCGGGTTCGATTCCTGGCTCGGGTCATACATGTACATGTATGTATGTGAGTAGAGTTGTTCGTTGATTCTCTCCTGTGCCTCAAGGGTTTTTGTTCGGGTTTGCCAGTTTTCCTCCCTCTGCAAAAATCGACACTTTCGATCTGGCTGTGCTCCGTGGTCAGACATGGGTCGTATGGCGGCTGCCTAAGGCGCCTTTACATGCCTTTGGCTTGACCACGTTGTAGCTGTTCTTGTAGTTGGGTTCCCTGACCCTACTTCAGACAAAACGGAGCAATTTATAGACGCTGGAAAATTGTCAGGTCAGGGAATCAGACTAGCTGGCTTGCGTCTGTTCACGGATGTGTAACGATTGCAAACAAAATGTGGCCTTACAACTAAATTTGGTTAATTGGGGGCAGTATTTGAAAAATAGTCATATTTTCCAACGATGGTCAGCCGACCATCATTGGAAATTCATACAGAAATTCCAGTTTTCTTGAAAATGACAGCATACCAGGTGCCATAATTTTCCAGGATGCTTGAGACTACTGGTAATATTCACTTACAGTCAAGTATTAAAGGTATTTTATAATCATTTGGTAGTTTTGTTTTGTGATGTTTGCAAATGTTGTATATTACCTTTAAAGCAAATCCTGATATTTGTTGTTTCTCCGATTCCATTGATGTCAACTATAAGTTATAATTGTTATAACACAAACCACAGGCTAGTATGACCTCCCGTGTAGCAGCCTCCATGGGCCTGTACGGCCGGGGCAAAGGTCGCGTGGAGTTCATCCGGATGAAAGGGCCGGAGGGCAAAGGTTACGCTGAGGTCGCGGTCAGCCGGCACCACCGGATCGGCTCGGTGGACTACAGCAGTAGCGAGGATATGAACTCAGGCATGGAGAGCAATGTGGAGTCACCAACGGAGGAGGTAAGGATGCTTTGGGGCTAAGTCTATGACTTAGTAGCATTGATATGCTACAGTGCATATCTGTAGCCATAAATTAAAGTGCCCTTAGTCTGTTTCTGGATCAAACGATTTGTGGCTACGGCTATGACTTTGTGGTACTGATGCTTGTATGCTACAGTATATATCCATAGCCAATAGCCATACATAAAAATACCCTTTTAAGTAGCCTGTTTCTGGATCAAACAATTTGTGGCTACGGCTATGACTTTGTGGTACTGATGCTTGTATGCTACAGTATATATCCATAGCCAATAGCCATACATAAAAATACCCTTTTAAGTAGCCTGTTTCTGGATCAAACAATTTGTGGCTACGGCTATGACTTTGTGGTACTGATGCTTGTATGCTACAGTATATATCCATAGCCAATAGCCATACATAAAAATACCCTTTTAAGTAGCCTGTTTCTGAATCAAACAATTTGTGGCTACGGCTATGACTTTCTGACATTTTATAGATGCTGTAAATAAAATCCATAGCCATAACCAATAGTGCCCTTTGTAGACAAACTGCTTAGCCTTAAACTGTGTTTGAATTGACTGTTTTGTGGCTATGGCTATGACTTCCTGGCATTACTTACAACTAAGAGTATCCACAGCCATAACCGAAAATGCCTTTTTTTTTTTACTGGTGAGCCTAAGGCTGTGTGTAAATTGACTCATTTTGTAGCTACGGCCTTGACTTTGACATTGATTTGCTACAGTAATGATCCATATAGCCATCAACAAAAAGTCATTTTCGGACTGATTTTCTGGAACTTCGCATTCATCTGAAGCTTTGGCTTCACCACAGGCTCCTAATACATGTAAAACCTGTAATGTAAAACCAAATGAAAATACTCTTTGCCCAGTCTCGGCATTAAACACCTTACGATTTGAGTTCAACTTACGAATGCAATGCAAGTAAATGTGGACATTATGGACAATTCTGACATTTGTTAATGAATGACTTAACTAAAAACCGTGTATTACCTTAATTGAACTTTTACTCCGGTAGAACAAACCCATCTTGAGGCAGCCCAAGGCAGACGTAGTCAACAACAATCTTGTCAAGACGGCGTTAAGGAAGTCACGCTCCGACAGCGAGACGTTGGGTCAGGTGGAGGATGATGAGAGGAGGGTGAGGGATGAGGAACGCGCCATGTCAGAGGGTAGGTACAGTGCTTAGCAGCAGCAACTGCAGTAGTAGCGGCAGCAGGGGTCAGGGAGAGGATGATGAGAGGAGGGTGAGGGATGAGGAACGCGCCATGTCAGAGGGTAGGTACAGTGCTTAGCAGCAGCAACTGTAGTAGCAGCGGCAGCAGGGGTCAGGGGGAGGATGATGAGAGGAGGATGAGGAACGTGCCATGTCAGAGGGTAGGTTCAGTGCTTAGCAGCAGTAACTGTAGTAGCAGCGGCAGCAGGGGTCAGGGGGAGGATGATGAGAGGAGGGTGAGGGATGAGGAACGCGCCATGTCAGAGGGTAGGTACAGTGCTTAGCAGCAGCAACTGCAGTAGCAGCGGCAGCAGGGGTCGGGGGAGGATGATGAGAGGAGGGTGAGGGATGAGGAACGCGCCATGTCAGAGGGTAGGTACAGTGCTTAGCAGCAGTAACTGCAGTAGCAGCGGCAGCAGGGGTCAGGGGGAGGATGATGAGAGGAGGGTGAGGGATGAGGAACGCGCCATGTCAGAGGGTAGGTACAGTGCTTAGCAGCAGCAACTGCAGTAGCAGCGGCAGCAGGGGTCAGGGGGAGGATGATGAGAGGAGGGTGAGGGATGAGGAACGCGCCATGTCAGAGGGTAGGTACAGTGCTTAGCAGCAGCAACTGCAGTAGCAGCGGCAGCAGGGGTCGGGGGAGGATGATGAGAGGAGGGTGAGGGATGAGGAACGCGCCATGTCAGAGGGTAGGTACAGTGCTTAGCAGCAGCAACTGTAGTAGCAGCGACAGCAGGGGTCGGGGGAGGATGATGAGAGGAGGGTGAGGGATGAGGAACGCGCCATGTCAGAGGGTAGGTACAGTGCTTAGCAGCAGTAACTGCAGTAGCAGCGGCAGCAGGGGTCAGGGGGAGGATGATGAGAGGAGGGTGAGGGATGAGGAACGCGCCATGTCAGAGGGTAGGTACAGTGCTTAGCAGCAGCAACTGCAGTAGCAGCGGCAGCAGGGGTCAGGGGGAGGATGATGAGAGGAGGGTGAGGGATGAGGAACGCGCCATGTCAGAGGGTAGGTACAGTGCTTAGCAGCAGCAACTGCAGTAGCAGCGGCAGCAGGGGTCGGGGGAGGATGATGAGAGGAGGGTGAGGGATGAGGAACGCGCCATGTCAGAGGGTAGGTACAGTGCTTAGCAGCAGCAACTGTAGTAGCAGCGACAGCAGGGGTCGGGGGAGGATGATGAGAGGAGGGTGAGGGATGAGGAACGCGCCATGTCAGAGGGTAGGTACAGTGCTTAGCAGCAGCAACTGCAGCAGCAGCGAAAGCAGCAGAAGCAACAGTGGGAATACATGTAACTGCAGCGTCAACAATTGCAGCGGCAGTAAACTGCAGCTGCAGCACCAACAGCAACAGTCTCGCATGTTGCATTTTGGTTTTGACATTGTTGGCATCAAGACCTGAAGCCAAATTAACCAGAGATAAAACCAAAGTTTCGCTTCTTGTTAACTGTTACGTAGATCTTTAGTAGAAACGTCCAGCTGAAGCTGTCTATTAAATACCATGCAGCACATTTTAATTCTTTGGATCTTCATAATAAACTGGTGCCTTGTTTTCCTTCTTCCATTCTGTAATTTATTAGATGGTGTTCAAATATCAGAGACTCAAATTGACTCCAGCATAAGTTGACTCGACTCGACTTGACTGCACACTGTGCATGCTGTGACTCGACTCGACATTCTTGACCTAATGACTCTCTTCGACTCAAGTCACTTCCTTAAAGTTCCGTGACTCGTTACAACTCTGTATTTATTAGCACAGTTTTCTGCTACTCACTCCTAATTAAGCGGCGCAATGAAATTGGGCCTTAGTTCACTGTGTTTGATCACTGCAATGTCTGGTTCCTTTTGCTTTAGATGAGCAAGGCATCACAGAGGGATGGAGAAATCGCTGGATGCGACGGACATCCACCGCACTAAGACGGTTCAAGAGAAGCCAGGTGGCTAGCGCAAGGCCTCTCACGCTAAACGTCCACTTAACCTATGTCACACTACCATGGTATCGCATTATAGGAGGTGAGTATCAAGTCACCACGAGACAATCACAGGCAATCACAAGTCATCATAAGTCATGAGTCAATTACTAACCAATGACAAGTCAATTGCAAATCAATCACAAGTCCGTGTACAAGTTGTCACTTACAAATCACACACATAGAGCTACATGTATTTTAAATTGCTACAGCGCTAACTCCTAATTCGCGCAGACATTTTGAATTCATGTGCGTAATTGTAGAACATAATTGCATTAGATGGAGTGAATTTTGAAAGTGTACTCTAAATGCAATGCGCAAGTACATTACGCAAACAACTTAAGTGCGTCATTAAGTGCATCATGACAGTTAAAAATGTCATGGCAAAAATCAACTGCAGCAGATATTCCCACTTGTTTGTGCAGAGCAAAATATAGCACTCATTTACTGATGGTGCGTTCGGTTTGGATCTGTTACCCCTGTGACGCATCGCGGCTGCGTTGTGTCCTGCAAACCGTTTCATAAAACACCTCGTGTATGTCTTTATTCTACACACAGTAAATAGTCATCTGATATTCAGCAACGAGTCTTCTCTTGTAAAATGTATATAGCGTAAAAACAAAATGCCGGACGTTTTATGCGGTTGTGTAGGAAAACATGCTCTTGCAGTGGAATTTTACCTCGAAATTTCAAATGTACATGTAACATTCAAACAACTTCACATTCACTATGGTCTCATTTGCTTTGTCCACAGATGTTCTTGAAACTCAAAAGCAGCCAGTGCTGAGCTAGTATTAGATTCTACCCCTCCAACGTTACCATGACAACTCAGGACAGTGACACCACATTGCTGCCCCACCCCCATGAGGCCCCGCCCATCCCATCAGGCCCCGCCCATCCCACAGTCGGTGAGGTTTCTTTGCTATTTTTCTACGGGCCATCACAAAACTGCAGATAATTCTGGTTTGTTTGTTTTGCGGTTTCGTTGGATGGTACACTATTAACATACTGTAGTAAACACAGTGTGGTCTGAAGAAGGTTGTGATCATCGGTTGAGGAAATTTTGGCCGACATTGCCTGGTATGAACCTTTCATGAAATTCGGAAGCCAAAGAAGATTTTTGTTACATATTTGGCCGAATGTTTGGTAAAGGTGTGTCGGTACATGTGAAAGTGGCATTCTACTGTATTTATGAACTGCCACATATTGAGAGATTGTATAAAAAGCTTGGGGAATTCTGTTTACGTTGTGATCCCTCCGTCATGGCAACACATCTTTGATTCTAACGTGTTTTCAGCGTGGGCATGTTTCTAGAAACTGCGCATACGCACAATCACAGTATTCTTTTGTCAACTGAGAACAGCGATTTGAACAGACAGTGTTCAAAATGGAATTTTCCCGTGTCTGGTAGTTGGAGCAATCTTTTTGAAAGATTGTAATTAGGGGTTTTTTGGGTTTTTTTTTTTATGTTTTGGGAATTTCCAATCCCACAATGCAACAGAATGTTACTTTGGTGGTAGTGGTGGGAGAAGTCGGAGATTTCAAAATCCGGTTATCCAATATTTTTTTCAAACCGAATAACTGTTAGCTGATTTCACCTGAAGTTCCCATCCAGCTCACAGTAATGCCAACAAAAAGTGACGAGTGAGGTGCCGCATGCAATGCCCTCCCAATGACTGGGAATAGTTTGCAGAATTCAATGACCACTGGGCCTTTACAAAAACACTCAAAGAGCTGTAATGTTGACAAAAAATGGATGGGAACTCTCTGATAAGTCAAATGGGCAGGCTATTCACATACCAAGAAGGCCACTAGCAAGTGAATGCGGTTACAATCAGAGACCATGGAGCAAATTGGGGGATGTTCCAGTTTGTTTTTTTAGCTTGCGTCGTAAAAAATGGAAGGCTTATTTTTGTTTAAGGTTGGTTTCGAATATCTGGTTTCCAAAATCGAAACTGAATTGTGGACTGGAATTCAAACTGAACTTAAAAAAATCCATATCAAATTCTGTTACTAATTGGTAGCATACCTGTCTGTCAATGCCCCCCCTCCCCTGACATGACCACAAACTGACATGACCACAACTCTTTTATAATTCCTTCAACCTGTAAAAAAAGCAAAAACCGAGAAAAATCAAACAAGTGAAAAGGTAAAGACCTTTGACATTCCAATAAACAGTATTTATATGTATATATTTGTTTTATATATGTTTTTTTGGTCGGTTGGTAGAAACTAATCAGCCATTTGCGAGTTAAATTTGAATGAAATCTGGAACGCTGACTCAATCCAATGCTTCGCACATTTTAACTTTGCATCCTCCCGACCACAGAGACTGTTACTATATCACGTGATTCGGGGCAAGCCTTATGCTAGCAACCCCCAGCTCCGGCATGGTCTGGTGTCTTTGTGCCATTCTCACCCATTGTGAACAATGTATTGGTGCTGAGCGTCTCTTTGAACTATGCAAGAGCTTGCTCCGAATCATGTGATTAGCAACAGTGTCTTTGGTCTGGGGAATTCAAAGTTAAAATGTGCCGAGCATTCTGGGCAAGTCAGTGTACCAGATGTTTTTCAGATTTAAATCCCGAAGGGTATAGGTCACTCACAAATGGCTTATTGGATGTAAATGTACTTAATTTGCAATGCGACCACAACTTTTAATTCCACTGATGTTAGCAGGGGTAGGGAAGGTTTCGAGAAAAAGAAAATTGAGGTGATGATGGGGAATAAACTTGTTATGAAACTTTGAGGAACTCATTTTCAGAAAAAAATGTTGAGTGTTTGGAAATGGATGAGGGAAGAATGTAGAAATTTTATTTTACATCATTTGGAAGAAAAATGAGAAAATTTGACCACTCGGGGCTTACAATGTATTCTCGTAATTAAGGTCACACTGAAAAAAATAATGATAATTAGATCTGCATATCTCGTTAAGAACTAAAAACAAAAACCTTGAGAAAAAATTACTTGCCAAATGATAATAGCAGACCTTCATTTATAATGAGTTTATCTGTTTGTAGAAATATCAGGTAATGGTGCAAATGAAAAAAAACGTTGAAAAGGGAAGAAAGTTATTTCAATGTTTACTTAATTATGTTCATGTATTTGAAAAGGAGAACAAAATTAGGAAACAAAAAAGGGCAACTACAATTGAGAAACTAATAGTTGTCAGCCATGATCCAGTGTGCAAAATTAATTTGTTCATTAGGAAATTTTCCTTTTAAAAATGAATTGTGTGTGTTTTGTTTGTGTGTGTCGACTAATGGTGGGGCAACAACAGTGGTTTAAACAATATCCGTTTTTAATTTTGGAAATTTAATTATGTAAGAGCTAAAGTTATAGTCATTGGGGTACATTATCATGTATGTTATTTTTTAATGCTGTTATACTCAGAGTAAGTTTAAAAAATAATTTAAAGTTGCATTCCCTGTGCTATTTTCGAGTTTCATCCCAAAAAATGGATTCCTTTTGTTTTTCTAGCAATACAAAAGTTAACTCTTTCAGTGCCAGAGTCGTACATGTACGAGGTATATTTGTTAATTCGAAGTGCCAACCTCGTACATGTACGAGGTAATGTTCGTACTTAAAATCGCCAAACCTCGTACATGCACGAGGTAGAGTAAGCTTGTTATCACAAGGGGGCGCGCTCGCTCTTTCTAATAATATCATTTTCATTCAGGTACGACCTGTATTTATTTGTTTCATTCGAGTTCTTGCGAGAGGGCGCAGCACTGACACTCGTATTTTCTGCAAAAAGTGCGGAATTCCCCTGTGTGCAGGACAGTGTTTCAGGGTGTATCACTATGTATGTGACTACTATTGATTTTCCAATATACCAAGGATATACCAGAGAGCAACAACAACAAATTTAGTGAGTAAAACTTATTACTTTTTTTTTTACAGAATTTTGAACAATTAAAAAAAAAAGGTTGGGCACTTCAGGGTTAAACTTTTCAAATTTTGTGGGCACTGAAAGAGTTAACAAAAATCTTTTTTCTTTAGAGGGTTGCAGACATCCATATAAAGAAAAGGAGTTGAAAATTAATTAATAAAAATAAATCAAATTTGTTTAACTGTATGAACATGGGAATGCAACTTCAATAGATAAAAAAAACACTCCTCAGGTCTCGTAATCCAGTCCTATCCAGCTAGTCAAAACATTGTCCCCCCACCCACCTTGGTTCATGTTGGTTTGACATCATGAGTCATGTGCAATGAAGTTCACCTACCTTGAAATGTACCGGTATTTGTTCTTTCACCTTTACACGTGTTACAGGGCGAGTCAAAAAGAAAATTACCCAAATTAATGTTTTTTGTCTTAATAAGCAATCAAATTTGAAACACCAATGAAGTACATCTGAAAAGAGCATCTTCTTCCACTCATCTCCAAAAAAGAATTACTGAAATTGATCTATGCTATCAGGAGTTATGAACGTTTTACCAAATTGGGTAACTTTTTTTTTTTTGACTCGCCCTGTAGTGATTTCACCGTGCGAATACTTGCCATGGCATTAAAGCTTTAGTCCATCATTTGCAGCTATCAGAAAAGTAACTGACGTAATTATTGTTGAAAAACGTGCTTGGTTGAAAGATATTAAGGGAACTAAACTCCCTGTGAAATTATTCTTTCTGGCATGCTGTCATTTTGAAGAAATCAACGAAAGAAGGCCTTTTCAACGGTGCATCTTAAGACGCACCATAGGAAATTTCCGTTAGTAGTTTGTTTTTTTTATTCGGCGAAGCACGTGCAAGCGTTTGCACTACGCAAACGCGCGCGCGCGGTTGTTATAATTTGTCGGATCGGTGCGCAACATCGCGTAGCTGCAATCGGCTCAGTGAGAATGTGTCTCAAACGCTGAATTCAGGCCCAATTCAAAACATGATTTAGCAACTTTTGATATGAAATCGAGATCCTTGATTGCTGTTTTTCTCGGAATATACAGCTGAAGCTGAGCTGAAACTTCATCAGGTTAGTTGTTCAGCACCCTTCTTCAGATTTTGAGTACGTTTGTTACTTCAAACGAACAAAATGCACAAATTACAAATGATGGACTGTACCTTTAAAAAATGTGCACTCGTTATTCGGGTTGAGTCTGAATTGGTCCTAATTAAGACACGTTACAAATGTGGTCGCTGTGTGTTGATAATTTTGGCTGCCAAAGATTTATAAAAAAAAAAAAATTAAACAGTAAGCGAACTCATTTATTTTAAGGGAGTTGCGTTTCCTCAGTTGTGTATATTTGTCGATTTGTCCAATGTGGACGGCAGAAAGTGCAATCAGGCTTAATAGATATAATTTATTTTGAATAATGTTTTGTTGTAAAGTATGGTGGTGAGGTTTCAGAAAATGTTTGATGAATCTGTGTCTAAAATCTGGGAAGAGTTTGTGTTATAGAAGGTATTTTTTCGGTTTTAAGAATATTACAGTGACTTCGTTAGAGGCTCAAAAGATGAGTTTTTTACGTTGATTTCAAAAACCGGCTGTGTGTATTTTATTTTGCTGGTGTAACTTTTTGAGTAACAAGAGCGCCTTTGCAAAGAGAAAATCTAGTGTAACTTTTCACAGTCGTGTAACTGGTGTGAGATCATGTCGCGAAACTGTGTACAATGTACATGAACTAAATGATGGAATTGGTGATTAAAAATTTGAGGAAAATAAAGTGCTTTTGGGTGAATTTGTAAATTAGTGAAAAACAACATTGTTCTGCAAACTGTTTTATTTTACTTCTTCATAATGCAATAAGTTAACAAACAAGTCAATTGTTTTCAACATCATGTTGTCGAAAAATAACGCTGTACAACATTTCTAAAACAACATTCCAACATGTATAGTAATGTCTTGATTGTCATTAACATTGTACAGAACACATTTCTTTCATAATGGCCCAACATATACATATCATTATTTCTTGGTAATTATCAACAACATTTCTACATTTGGAGAATTGTTTGACTGATTTATTTAAAAAATAATACAGTAACCTTTTCAACAGAGAAATATTCGTATATTTCTCTAGGATGCACACTTGTGCTAACTCACTAGGCTAAAATCCTTTAAAACTAATGTCGTATTTTCTGTAATAGGACTTTCACAGTGCATCAAGCCCCCTGAATGCAAAGTTAAATTTGCTGAGGTAAGCCTTCCATAATCCTGCAAAATCCTTCAAATTCTTAATGTGTTTATTGGATTTTGAAGGGTAAAAAGGGTCAGGATTCCTGTGTCTTTAAACATGTACATTCCAGATATCAACATCAAAGCTTGATTTAAAGTTCACAAATTCCTAAACAATGCAATCAACTTAAAAGTTTCCAACAATTAGAACATGTCTAAAATGCAAACAATGTCAAAATTAAAAGCATGGTTTTAAAGCTTATTTAAAATCAAAATATTCAGAAAAAGTTGTGAAACAATCCAATTTGGAACAAGGTTTTTCAACACTAAAGGAAGGAACCCTTTTCAAAATACTTCACAAAAGTTGAAAGGCTACCCTTGCTTGGCGGATGGAAACTCTTGATGAGAATTACTGATTGACAAGCCAGCAGTGGAACATCTGTAAACTCTTTCCCGGGGAGTCCTCAATCTCAGATTTTACTTCCTGTCAGAAAGGGGGAAAGTACTGCATTTGTAAATGCAGTTTCACTGGCAATATTCTTGATGCATATAATATACAAATATTGAGTGGCTTAGAGTGGAATGGGAGGAATGTTATCGCAAAGGTAAAATCTGGACTTTTCCATTTCACAAGGCGAAGCCGAGTGAACATGGTGAACTGGAAAAGTCCAGATATTACCGAGCGATAATATTCCTCCCATTTCACAATTTAAAGCCACTCAATATTTGTTTTATATAACTGACATATAGATTCTTGTCATTTGATATTTTTGAACTTTTATTTCAATTCAAAATTGGTGGAAAATGTATTTCTCTCTTCCAAACCACCCCTTCACGAAAATGTTTGAACCCAATTCTGTAGCGCTGGCTCTTATGGAACAATACGCGCTATGCTGAACGCGCACACCAGCATGCATTTGCACAGAAATACCGCGTCATGGAACAAGGATGATCCTAACTGTTGAATAGTATTTCCCATTCCCCAATGGGACTTTTTGAGCCCTGGCGTGAATGGGAGCAATAACGAATGTCGCGTGATGCGAGTTCCACCAATCAAATGACAAGGATCTGTATGTCAGTTGTATAAAGCTAGATAACTTTGTGAACTACAACTGTTGTGGTAGCATGCTTGGTGCAACAATTACAATGCACACTGAAATCTTATGGGGTTCAGTAGGAATGACGTCAGAAATGTGATTTGAAGCTTGGAAATTAACTACAACCCATGCAGCCTGCCAGCAAGACACTCGCCTGTCACCTCTACCATCCACCCAAATCCCAAATTGCCTCAGTCACCCTTGGGCCAGTGATCTTTTAATTGCTTCCATGGCCACCCTTTCTTCCACCCTTCATCTCTCCCTACCTTAACCAGGCCCATCTCCTCCCCTTCTTTCCAATCCCCCATCACCCCTCACCCCTTCTGCCACTCTCCCTCCACTCCTTCCCCACCCAATCCTCTTCCCCCCGCCCTCAACTTCCCAACCCCGACCCATCCCCTCCCCAACTCCCACCCTCACCTCTACCCCCTCTTCACTCTTTCCCCTGCCCCCTACCGTAACTCCCGTCCTCCCTGCCGAGCCCCACCCCATCCCCTCTCAAACCCCCCTTCCACCCCACCCCTGCCTTTCCCTCCCCACCCTCTCCCTGAACAACCCTAACGAAGGTGTCTAGCTCACCTGTCTCTGGAAGCCAAACTGGTTCCCTGTCAATTCGCCTTCCCTGGTGTCCGACTCGGAGCCGACAGTCCCATTGTCGTCAGCGGACAGATTAGGAACTACCTGGCACTCCGCGCTTTGCATGCTGTCAGATGTTGCAGACCCATGGGAGATGCGGCCAGTTACCAAGGGCGACAGCGAGGATGACAGTGATGATGATGAGGACATAGACGATGAGAAATCACCATTGGAGGACTGGCTGCCAACCTGCACAGGGTAAGAAATCAGCTGTAACTAACTTAATTGAACCTTGCATTAGTCCTTATGAAACGGGAGCTACATGTACTTCAAATGTGCAAGTCATGAAAATGTCTGATGTTCTAGTCACATGGAATGACTCGAGAGTGTAGTCTGAAAAATTAAAACATAAAGTTTGCCCTCTCTGTTTGAGTTGACGTGAATACGTTTTGGGTTTGCGCCACTCTCGGATGCCAGTTAAGGTAGGTGAAAACTTCAGGGCTGACTCACATTCTTCTCAGGCTGCCAGTCAGGAACTTCAATCAGTCCTTCCCCAACGCTGTTCTGTGCAGCTAAGTCCACGCCCAGACAGTCGTAGGTGTGGCAGTACCTGGCCAGCAGATCTTCACTCATTAGATCATCTAGTGATTCGTCAGCTTGAAGATCTATGGTCGGTGGGTCGGTCCAGTCCCACTGCTCTTGCTTGATGATTGGCAAACTTACAATAAATGGTAACTGGCATTTAATGGCATTATTTTACAAACTCGATTTAAAGCTTTGCAAGGTGGAGAAGCCTGTGGAAAAGTTACTATCTCTGAAGTCAAGCTCTATGGGAATAGCCTAAGCCATCTGTATGTGGGACCAACTTTGAACTTGAGCAAAAATCCATTTTGATCGTAATAAAAAAATAATAAAGAGAAATTTTTTGTCAATAAGGAAATGAAGAAACAGGAAGCTGTTTCCTCTGCATATCGTCGCGTCAGTGTCAGGTCGTAACTCCATTCTGCAAAAAAGGTGTATCTCGCGCAAATACACTCCGTGCAACAAGGCCGTATCTCGATGTCCATTGATTTGTGTGTACATCCGGGTTATTTTAAGTGAGATACGACCTATTGACATGCTGAAAATCGCGTTTCACCTATGGCCCATGTTAGGAGATACGACCTTGTTGCATGGACACGACGATATGATGATATATACACTACCTTTACCAGTGGGGCAAGTAGCAAAATTTTTCATAAAAGTCGGGACAATTGTCAAATATCTCTCACCTGTAAGCTTCTTTGGGTAGCTCAGGTGATAATGAATGCTCTGCTGAGCTCTGAGATAAATGACTGAGATTCATGTACCCTCTTGGTGTTGAAAGAGTAGATGTTGAAGGTGACGTGCTTACGTAGGGAGATCCAACATTTATATTGGTGTCAGAAGCGGAATTAGAAGTCTCTGGTTTCTTGATGACAAATTCCAGTCCTGTTGTAGCCGTTGCAGGTACTGAGTAAGGCAACTTGGACTGGTTCTTGGTAGGGGTTCCAGAATCGACGCAGATCAGTGTTGTTTGGGCTTGGTAGGAGCTGGCTTTCAGAGAAGACGCAGTCTTGCTAACGAGTTGGCCATTGAGGAGGGCCTGGGTGGCTCCACGATAGACTTTCTCGTTGTCGCTGTAAATGGCTTCTGAAACATCATGATTGGTCTTGGGTTGTTGGTTGTAAGAATCCAGGGACTGACCGCTCAGGGCACTGGATGCAAAGCGAGCCATGGATTCAGTGATGTTGTCTTCACCGTGCTCTCCCAGATACCCTCTTTCCTTGGCATCAGTTCCCAGATTTTGCTTCTCCTGTTTGACCGGGCTGACAAGGTAGAAGGTCTTCTGTGGGCTCAGCTCTCTGTTCAGACTTCCCAGCTTAGACAGCCTGACTGGGCTTAGAATCACCGTGGGTGGACAGCCAGAAGTACCTGCTTCAGCGCTCATGAGCCGATATGCCTCCAAGAGAGCTCCTTGCAGTTGATCAGAAAACCCTTCTTGGTCTAGGACACTGACAAAATCGGTGGCAGCGGTGGGATCAGAGTGCTGAGTACTGACAGAGTCTGGCGAGCTGCGAGTTGAGGCGCTGGTCCTGGATTCCTCCTCTAAATCCAAGATTGTCAGGACTATCTCATCATCTGATTTGGTCGTTTTGAGGCGGTTTGCGTTTGCTGAGGTTGCATACATCTCTGGTTGAAGTGTCCCTGCGAGATTAAAATGTTGAAGTCTTAGATAATTAGTTGTTCCTTTGCAGAAACATCCAGATTGAAAGCTGTAACTATACTGAGTACAGAACAACGGGAATTGCCTTAATAAGATGATATTAAAACAACATGAAATTTATATTGAGTAGATACATCAGCTTCTCATCTCTAGCAGGCACTATTTTTACCCGATCAGTTTGCTGAATGTGAACAGTTGATGTCATAGATATACATGTAACAAAAAAAATATTGTCATGAGCTGTAAGACAAGTTTGTTGAGCTTCTTTTAAAGAGAGAGAGAGACTTACTCTCTAGTTCTGAATCTTCTAGGAAGCACTGTTCAGAATCACCAGACAGGAGTAACGGTGCGATGATTTCATCTGGCAGTTGGGGAATCTCACTGAGCAGCAGACTGCCTTGGCTGGCAAGGAAAGAAGCAAACAAAAGAATCGGTTAAAAGCACCCAGTCTTTAATATAACAAGCCTATCTTGTTTTCCCACTATCAAACAGCTTTGGCTAAAGCGTGCCACACTCGTAAAAAAAGTTTTTAGAAGACAAATTCACTTACCTGCTGTCTTGGTCTACATGTACGTAGTTGCTTTTTTCGGAAAAGAGCTGTCTATTATTGGATGTCTTGCTGTAAAACAATGACCAGAATATCTTATGAAAAAGGATCAACGTTAAACCCTTCATTTTCAAAGTAAAATTACAATGCAAACTTTTTTGCCGGTGTAGCTCAAGCGGGTGGCAGGTTTTCTACGAATGAATGTTGACATTTTCCAAATTAAGTTGAGAGTAGAGTAGGATTTGAGCTTTCCAATAGCATAGTCATCATTAGTCATAAGATGGAATTTGCGTCCTGGTGATTTAAATTCAATATTGGGTTTTGTCCTTCACGGACTATTTTATGAACACTTGACGCCCAGTGTTGTCCCAAGTGATTGTGAGAACAATTCACGATCGAGTCCTACCCGAGTACGGCGAAGGGAAAATCCAATGTTGAATCGTCTTCATTAATTGTAATTCGGTTGCACCGCATGCGACCGTCCTTTTTTTTCTAAATAAGGTCACTGGCAAGGTTGACAACATGTCTTCGTTGTGTCCTCATCCCCCTAGGAAGCCTTGGGTATATGTTAGATTGTTGTCGGCCACCCTGCTCTTTATCAGTCTGCTAAAAAAACACCTGCCCTTTCCAACAGGAATTTGTACTTATTGTGAATTACTTGAAATGCTTTATTAAATGCTCTGAACAATTCTTCCACGTACCGGAATTCTTTTGTCAGGCAGTCAGGGTCAACCTCATCCACGTCTATGATTTCCTCCACGCCCAACTCCAGATCTGCTTTGTGTTCCTCTTTGATGACGATCCGCAGTCCTCCACGGACAATTTTCCTGGGCTTCCGAGACTTTCTTCTGCTGGGTTTGTTTTGTCCGCAGAGCTTGGTTTTGGGTCTTTGCTGGGGTGATGGCTCAGCACTCGAAGCAGTGGATGAGGGGGACGATTTGGATTTGCTCAAATTGTTTTGCTGCCTTGTGATTCCACTGGTTTAGGTAGAACAGTACGATTTGTAACATTGCATAACACCTTTTTTTTTAGTGAGGTAGGTTTTAAGAACTGCTGGTTAAAAAAAAAACAATCAACTTTTATTTGGCATTTTAGGCCATCAGCCTTTTGGCCATCGGTATCAAATGAGGGGAATAATCGTCATAGCGATTTTTGGCAAGGTATGCACCTCCAGAGTTTGTAAATATGTGATAGCATTGCAGCGGTGGCAGCTTTTTGGGTATTATCACCCTTTTTTTCAGAATGTCCATCAAAATGCTTGTTACCACTCTAGGGGCAGTATACCTTGCGCATGCGCACTATAATCATTTATGCCCTGATTTGATACTGACCAAACCCCCAGGCTGATGGCCTATTTAGGTGTCGGTTTACACAGAGCCTGACTGACTCTGTGTACATGTATATTTACCAGACTGGACTGGAGACTTTGCTATTGACAGGATCCCAGGGTCTGATACGGGCTGCGGTGGCTCGCTTGTGGTACTTTCTCCTTGGTCCCTTCTTCTTTATGTCACTGCCGTCCATACTGATGCTTGCCTCTTGGAACTACGTAATGCACAGACATACAATATACTAAACAATGCTAAATCAAAACCATGGGTAAAGTTTGGTCCTAATTTAACCCTTACCTCCCTGTGCAATGCAAATTTTATGCAACCCTGCAGGCCAGCCAATTAGGGTCCACTTTAGAAATTGTGATTTCAATCAGAAATGTGGACTAAGCTGTTGACTGGTCAATTTGGCTGACATCTTTTTGTAGTATGAGTTACAGAAGCCCCGATATATAATGCCTTGCTGAATTGTCAGAATCTCGAGGTCAAGACGCAGTCTTGTTTTGCATAATTAATCGCCGAATCTGCTCGCATATCATAGACCCTTTCTGTGCAAGTGGATAATCCATAGATCCTGGAATCATGTCAATAATAGCCATTAAATATCATTCTGCGCTTTTCCCTCCCACCTCTAAAACCAAACATTGATTGTTGTATTATGGTTTCTTTAATTTAGCGAGCTACAGTGCCTGTTTATGCACTGAGGCTTGTTTGGCGTTAATACCAGTATTCAAATAAAACAAATAAAAAATTGAATTGCTTAAAGGGAAAATGCAACATTTGCAAACATCAAAAAACGAAATGATCAAGTTATCACGAAATACCTTACTGGATTGCTAGGGAATGACAGTCTAAAGCATATCCTTTAAAGCCGTGGCTCCTGGTGTGCTGACATTTTCAAGAAAACCTGTATTTTTCCAATGCTGGTCGGCCGACCAGCATTGAAAAAAACTGGCTTTTTTTCAAAAATTGTTCTTAATAGTTCATATTTAGTTATTCTGACTTTTCTTTGCAATTGATTACACACCTCTGAAGGGGTACAAGCCTGCTAGACTGATTCTCTGACCTTACAATTCCCCGAAGTGTATTAGCTCCGTTTCATCTTAAGTGGGGTCAGGGAACCAGACTACTAAAACATGATAGGTTTTCTTGGTTTTTCCAGCATCTACAAGCCCAAAACGTGAAACAAGTCAGTTTACCAATATTTTCTATAATGCATTAATCCTCCAAATCCATTTATTTCTGAAAATTGAAGCAAAAGCAAATGTTGTACATTCCCTTTAAATTTGAATTTGAACAATTCCAGAGTATGTACCTTCTGTTTCTTAGAGTTTGACTCTCCTGCAGCTCTCTCCCCAATCTCATCATAAAACAGCCTCTTGCATCGCTTGCTCTTCGTCTGCGTGGTGACAAGGCTAGATTGAGACTGCCTGACGTCATTGACAAACTTGGCTGACCAGGTGGCGGGACGCTTCTTGGGGGGAACAGAGGGAGGTTGGGAGGTGGAGGAAAGGGGGAAACGGTTGGAGCTGGGCGTGGTGTAAGGGGTGAGATTCTTGGATCTGGGGGCAAAGTAATGGTCAATAGGAAAGATTTACAATACGGAAAACTTGCTGTTGTCAGTGCAAATGCAACATAAGAAACAGGAAAACTGCCCTTCAGAAAGGTCCTGTGCGGACTGAGATCTCAGGCCCCCTCTTTTTTTTAAATGGCAAAAGTAATACGTTGCTCACTTGTTTTCTTCTCTCCAAGACAGGATCTCTTCTTGACATGTCAAGTCCGGTGTTGATCTGCCCGCGACATCAGAGCTGGGAAATGGTGGGATCTCCCATGTTCCAGGCTCAGCTGAAAAGGCACAGAAGTGTCACAATAACAACCAACATGCTCAGTCAAGAGCTACATGTATATGAAAATTGATAGCTTGACTAAGTTACATGGAACGCTTCCAATAGCTAGTTGACAATGTTTGGTTAAAATCTTGACTAATTAATGTTGGTGTGGGACTAAACCCAATTTTTAATTTAAAGCAATTGTTTCCTGTCCTTCAAAGCTGATTAACATTAAAACTCACCATCTCCCAAGCTCATGATGGACTTCCCGACAATCTTGTATCGTTTGGATGGTGAAGTCATGACGAGATCAGATGAGCTCACAAGATCAATGCTTCCGTAGCTTCTCCCTGGACTAGTGGCCAAAGCATAGGCCGAAGCTCTGGTTGGGCACGATGCCAGTGGTCGGATGAAATCAGCCATTACTTGGTGAACAACTGGGCTGTGTCCAGGACTATACTGTGGCTGGTAGCCAAAAGCATTCTTGCTGGCCACTTTACCAGCCGGACTCCAATTTGATGGCCGGTATGACAGTGCCACACTGCCACGTCTTGTCGCTGGACTAGCGTTTGGTGTTCGCGGCGGGCTCCAACATGGGACTCGGCAGGGGCTTGCGAGCCCAGAGCTAGCGACTGGGCTCTCTGCTGGACTTTTAGCTGGACTCCAGTAAGCTGGCCAGTGAGGAGCAACTCGGTCATACTTTGCGGCCGGACTTTTGGCTGGACTTGTAACGACCAGGTTGTTCGGTGATCGGTGGGGATCAGCTCCTCCATTCTTCCTGGCCGGACTTGCAGAACGGCTACTCTTTGAACCCACTTGCCCGACATCAGCCTTTTTGTAATTTAGTGGACTCCATGCTTGGGGTTTATCTGGGCTGTAGAGTGAAGGCGTGGTCGGAATGCCCTTTCTGCCACTTCTGACTGGGCTCTGACTTGGGATCTGGGCTGTATTGCTTGGCGCTTTGCGCCTTGGCGATGTCATCACTTGGAATTGTGAGATGTGTCCTACAAAACAAAATTGTAACAGGGACCGATTACCTGGATTTTCTTCTTTTTTCTAATGACATTTCTAGTGAGAGTTACAATTTATGTATTTCTGACATATTTAATATTTTTCAGCTGTTTGGGGACTTAGTTTGATTTCTTTCTTGCTGCTTTTGGGGAATGTTCACATTTATTCTTCTGAAAGACCTTTCTTTGTAGAGGGAGACTTGCTATACCCATACTCTAATGAACTTCTTGATGGGATGCAAGCCCAAGTAACCTCGCATTGCCGATGGGTGTGGGAAATTTAGAAAGATGAAAATGTCGAGCCAATTGAAAGGAATCACCACTGAAGCCACCCTTTGTGGGATCCTTGGTATTAAACTTGGGAGTCTTAGGAGATGGGTCCTCGGGATCCAGGTCTTGCTCCTCACAGATGAGAGATTTGGTCGGGGTGGATGGGACAGCTCTGTCTTGCTGGGCTGCTAGAAATAAACAAGAATCTAGGTTAGCAATGCAAATTTAACTGACTGCTAGCAGACAGGTTTCATATACATGTACATGTAGCTTCGCATAGCTTCTTGAAAAGTTTTTGCTGCCTTTAAAGCTAGAGTAGATCATTTGCAGCTATCCAAAAACTGACAAAATTATTGTTAAAAGGCTTACTTGGTTTAAGATAGTAATGGCACTAAACTCCCTGTGAAACTATTCCTTCTGGCATGCTGTCATTTTGAAGAAAACATTCAAAAAAGGTCATTTTCAAAGATGCATCAAGTGACACTTTTTGGGAAATTTCTTTTAGAACTTGGTTTGTAGTTGGTCGAGACCGTGGATGGGTGCGCGCAGGCATTGAAACGATGTACACACTGTACACAGTTGCTATTATTTGTCGGTTCAGTGCGTGATATGGCGTAGCTGCAATCGGTTGAATAAGAAAGTGTTCCGGATGTTGATTTCGAGTGCAAAATAAAATATGACAGGGCAACTATTGGATTGAAATCAATATCCTAGAATATCGTTTTCTCGGAATATACAGCATTCGTAAAGCTAAAACTTCATCAGGTTAGCTGTTAAACACCCATCTTTAGATTTTGAGCACTTTTGTTGCTTCAGACAAACAAAATGCACAAACAACAAACGAACTACTCCAAAGCAACAAAATTCACCAGACACTTCAGCGATTCCAATATTGCCAAAAAAAAACATAAAAACGAGAATTTAGTGATAAAATAGTTCTCCAAATATCTGACCTTTTTGCTTTGTTGCAGTTCTGCTTGCGTGGGAACTTGATTTGTTCCCCCTTGACTTCTCTTTCATTACTTGACCTGCTGTTATTGTCACAGAGGGAGGAACTAACTGCTCACTGTTGGTTCTGCTATTCTCTGGCACAACACCCTCTTGCAGGCTTGGTTTTGGATCTGGATTCTCAACGGCCGTATTTGTACTGCTAAAGAGCATGGAGAAAAAAAAAGTGTTCGAATAAAAATGTTGCAATTTATTTTGTTTAATTTTAGTGAGGATGTGGGGTAGGGTAGGGGATGAAATTTGGGAATGGGGCGTGGGTTGGGGGTACATTTTATGCAAGTGTATTGTTTAATTTAGTTTTTGGTAAGGGAATAAATATGTGCTCCGGAGGTTTTTATCACTCCGTTTAAGACCGCTTAGAGTCTGGGTGCTGATAATTACCCGAGCCGGAGGCGAGGGTAATTATCAGCACCCACAGTCTAAGCGATCTTAAACAGAGTGATAAATACCGACCGAGCACATATTTAGTCCCATTCATAAATATCTTTTCGGTAAAAAAAAATCAAACATTTCGTTCAAAAATCCCGATTTTGTTCAACAAGTTCACTTCATGTTTTTTAGAAACATCGCTCTAGCAAAATAATGGAGTGTTCAGCTGGCGAGTAAGATGTAAACAACCCTTTTATGGAGATTGACGCGCGCGTAGCATGTTCTGCGCGATGTCGCGCAGAATGCACCTGGGGCATTGTGTTTTGAATTTAGAACTATAAAATTCTGACTCTCTGGTAGTGTTGCGCATGCCTACGTGAGGATTGTGAACGTTCAACCAATGAAATGGTAAGAGGCACTGGATTTTTAGGAGTCCACATTTGATTGTGACACTGGAAAAGTGTTTAAGACCAGCTAGCCATGTCTTTATCATCTGTTTAAGACCGGCCACGTGACGGGCTCTCGACCAATAGGAATAGCTAAACTGTCTGAGGTATTTATGAATGTTCAATAAAGAATCACAATAACATGTACATGTTTTTAACGGTCATTCAATAAATGTGGGGTCCAAAAGTGTAACATTTTTTTGTGCCAGCTACACCTGACCTGTATACATTTGTAATTTGCCATACAAGATCAGTAAAAGTGACTTCAAACTATTTTCTGTATTGTTTGGTAGGTACTTTGCCTTATCTTAATCACTCTTAGAGAGAGAAGGCATTAAGAGTGTGTCCTGAATTTACCAAGTCTATCAAATTTAACAGGGATATACAAAAAAAAAATTTGACCCTCAATTTATGGAATGGCTCATCAGGTACAGTGGCGCACCCAAGATTTGGTTTAAGGGGGGGCTCACAATTTTTTTTTCAAATTTTTTGAGATGGTTTTTTTTTTTTTCGGGGGGGGGGGGGGGGGGGGGGACTATTTTGACTTTGGTGGCACCACTTACCCCCCTATTAAACTACTCGAAATTAGGCCACATACATATAACCAAGGTCAAATCGTGGGATTAAAAAAAAATACCAAAACCTTTTTACATTACCTTCTTCCTTGTGCTTTCTGTATGTTTCTGTAGTAGGACCTGTTAGCAAACTCTCTGCGGGCCGACTGCAGACTTTGAAGCCCTCGCACTGGTGAAAATTCACACTTTTTACCTGAAACAAAACACAGACCACTTATCATAGCTTTTGTTATCAGGCATGCAACTGGGAAGTCACAAAAAAAGAGGAAGTTCAAATCTTTCCAAGACTTTGTACAGTGTTTTTTTTATTTTCAATGGCACACATGGGAAGTAAAAAAAGAGGAAATCAGCTGATCCGAGGAAAAGTTGCATGCCTGTGTTATTCTGACTAAAACTTTCTTTTATCAGTTGTTGGGGAAAAAAATGTCATCTATCGACATGTCTGACCCAAGAATTCTACACATCTCATTTTCTCAAACCTGTCGCATTCTTTTTTCGCAGGCGAGGAATAAAACAGTACTCAACTGTCCTTCAGTAACAGTTTTGTAGGTTTTTTTTAATTTGCTTATTTTGACAAATAAACCGAAAGAGGAAAGGGATCATGTTCATATATAATAATTATGAAGTTGAACAAAGAAAGTGACTGGTGTCGGGTTTGAACCTGCGACCTTCCAAACAATGTACTAGTGCTCTACCAACTGCAGAGTTCGGCACAACCCGCTGCAACTTCCAACCATACTCCAGTCAATTTCTTCGGTCATCTTCTTAATTTTTGACTTTGCATAAGAGTGCAGTAATGTTGCTCACTAAGAAGTGGGCGCAATTTCATAGCACTGCTTAACAGTAAGCAGAAAATCATGCTGCTGCTTAAGCACTATTTCATGCCGTGAACGTGCTAACGGTTGCGCGTGCATGGAGATTGTTACGCCACTGATTTAAGCAAAGTTTTCTTCTGGGGTTAAGCGTGCTTTTGCTGTGCTTACTGCTTAACGGTCCCTATGAAATAGATGGAGAGATGGAGGCTTGGTAAGCACAAAGTTGGCTGTTAAGCAGCGCTATGAAATTGGGCCCTGCTGTTATCTGACACAGGCAATTGCAATGTAGAGTAGACAGATCCTTACAAAGTGAAAGAAAACTTGATTGGCTCACCTTTCTTATCCGCTTGATTCAATAACATAAAGATAGATTCTAAGTACTGTACTTTTTGCACAGTCTTCTGCACAATCATCTCCTGGAAAAAAAAACAAAGAAAAGAAAATATGTCAATAGGCTTATAGAAACATGTATTATACAGACAAGTTCTTAATGTTGGGGATTTAACAGGAAACTCAGCTAAATTTCTAAGGGAAAGCTAACTGAAATTGTGGAGGTGACCACTTATCCCAAACTAAATGTTGTTTTGGATAAGGATTAACTGGGATGTTACAGATGTAATACACCACATTGGCAAAAATGAAGCACCTGATTTTTTTTTTTTTACATTAATGACGGAAGTTGATTGTCGTGTGTAGATTCTGTTTCAAATTGGCTGTTTAAGAAGTGCATTGAGTAAAGACAGCAGTTTTTGTTTGTTCGAAAACCCGGGCGTCGTAGGGTAGTAACTATAAGGACTATCAGTGGCGTAGCCAAGGGGGGGCGTGGGGGGGGGGGGGGGCAACCGCCCCCCCATGAAACCTTGTCACCCCCCCCCCAGTCGCCCCCCCCCCCCACTGAGATTTTGAGTTTAAAAAAAATGTATCATTGATCTACATGACGCCCCCCCATGAAATGTTCCAGCCCCCCCAGCGCCCCCCACTGAAAAATTCCTGGCTACACCACTGAGGACTTTATGAGCAGAGTGCTTTAGGAAACTTTGCACAGTTTTAAGCACTTACTAGTCATTTACAAAAAGTGGCACTGTACAGAAGAGAAATGATTTTTTTTTTTTTTTTTCAAATGACAAACCTTACCTTTGAGAGCCGAGTTTTGGAACAGCTTCTGGCACGAAGCACCTTGGTCTCCAGATGCTTGAAGCAAACTGAAAGATTGGAGCGCCACTTGGCATCAGACGCTCGCCTCTTTTTCTTCTTTTCTTCCTTGCGCGGCGACGGACCGGTCGCGCTCCCGGGCTCTGCAGTTTCTGTCAATGAGGGGGTGCTTTGTGTTGCTGTGTGACGTCGCGGGCGTAAGGTTGGCAACTCGGGGACTGCTGGTCTCTTCCTATGACCAAATTTCTTGTGAGACCACTTGCGAGGAGTCAGTGCCGGTGAGGAGTTGGTTGAGGAAGGGGAAGCAGTGAGGATCTCATCTGAGTTAACCTTTGACCATGTGTGACCAGAGACATGGTGCTCCTTGACAAATATGAAAATAAACCAGCATATTTTACATTGGAGAGTTCTATGTAAAATGTCACACTGGTTTTGCCGTGCACCAGTGAAAGTAAGGTATTTTTATGTACTTATAATCAGATGTCAAAATCGGGTGCAAAAACTTCAAAGATACTCAACAATTTTGTTCTGCCATAATTAATAGTTTTGATGCATGTATGCCGTACATGTATATCAAGTTCACATCATTTGCAGTGTTACTGTATAGTCTATGGCCCTGCACTGGAGTAGACTCTAGCAGAGTCTACTCCATGCAGTGAGGGGCCATAGACTAGGGCTAGTGCAGTGTCTATTTTTATGAGAAAAAAAAGTTTTAATTAGGGGGCCTACCACAACCAAGCAATAAATGCCATGGCCACCTTGTTGCCTTTAATTATTTGGTTTTTTTAAACATGAAACCTGGGGGGGGGGGAGTCAACAGTTTTCCCTTGAACATTTATTTCCAGGAAGTGTTTATTTTGAAACAAAATAGGCCTAGGCCCTAATTTAATAAGTAAAAGGCTCAACTGCATGGTTCAATGCAATGCATTTTTTTTGGCATATTGTTATAGGCCTAATTCAAAAATCCAAATTTTAAAATCATGATAGCTGTCTGCCTAAGCATGAATAAAGACAATTATTTATTTTGAGAATATAGGCCTAAATGAATGTTCCCTTGTAAAATGCCAGGCCTGTAATATTTTTTTTTTGGTATGAAATTGGAGAGTGCATGTGAGTGACTGATAAGTCGTTAGCTAGGCCTCCCCGTAAAGCCGTAGGCCTACTCCCCGAAAAGTGTGTTCATTCCGCGCCGGATTACGTTGCATGTTGGCTAGCGAACACAACTTTATTTAGTTTAGTTTAAAACCTGGTGAAAATGTGTTCGCAAAACCACGTCAATGTGGCTATTGCTATTTCCCTACTACCTCATCACTTACCGCAGTAACTCTGTGTTGAAATTCCATCACATGGGATCAGCAAACGAAGTTCATTTCAACAGCAAAATTCCATGAAAAAATGTGACGATACTGCATGCTGAGCTGATATCCCGCCGCGCTAGCTTGCCGAGTGCAGGCGCAGGCCGGCTAGGCATGCAGTGTGCCGCTCGCTAGCTAGCTGCGTCGCGATCGATCCAGGGACCGGAAAAACAAGTTTACGTGCGCGCCTCACGCAGTAGCTGTTCTCTGATTGGTCAAAACTGGCCAACGGAAACAGCCCTACGATTGGCTAAAAGTTTGAGGGTAAACATTTTGACAAGTCCGTCATTAAAGACACACTCTTTTAAATTTAATGTTACGTTAAAATACAATGTGAAAAGAAATTCTAAATGAAAAATACAAGTCTTGTAATTGTGAAGCAGCCATTCATACACAGACGGTATCCCCCGCCCCGCCCCCTGCACACAAAAGGAAATCCACCCCTCTGTTTGAATGGTTTAATCCACAGGTGTTCCACCGTGCGCCTGAAAAGTAATACAAAATCAATACAATACATGATTACGAGTTTGTTTATTTGCCATCTTTTATATTTGTTATATTTTTGATAGTCCAAGACGTGATCGAAGACATGAAAAAGAAATTAAACAAATTTATGAGACACACCAAATAGCACGATCCATCCAAACCAAAAAGCAACTCAAAAAGAGAGAATCACTTTAAAACCGGAAACGAGTGTTAAATTTGTACTTTTTTTTTTTTTTTTTAATTCGGCTCGCTGATAATTTTTTTCTAAATAGAGGGCGCACTCATCCAATATGGCAGCTTGCAGGGAACTTCGCAAAGAACATGCCAAGGAATTTTTCGAATCGTTTGACACGGTTCTGTTCGATTGCGATGGTGAGTAGTTTAATAAAAGCCACACGAAAATGTTTTCACATGATGTGCACGATTGGTATAAAGGTTATTGGACTTGGAAAGAGGGAAATAATGTAGGCCTAGTAAATAGCCCAGGTGAACTCCCTTTCCTCCCTACGTTACGGACATGACGGAGGGAGTCCAGGGTATGAAGTGCTCAAAACCGGGCGAAAAAATTTATGACCAATACTTTCAATATTTTTACCTTGTTGGAGAAGCCAATTTTTACGTCGTAGTATTCTTTGTGTCCTGATCTATTGGGCCGCTGGGTTCAGGAATTCCATATGCGATGCTGACCGACCTTAATTTTTTTTTTCTTAATCAGGAAAATAAACTCTAAAGCAACGTTAAACTTGTACGTGTTTGTAGACTCTTTTCATCAGTTTCTCACCACCGAGTCTATTCTAGTCATACATGATGTACGTCCGTGCGGCGTGTAGTCTGGCTCCCTAGACCTGACAATTATTCTCGGCGCACATATCACGTCTGGTCTGGGAGCCAGACTATGCAGCATGAATATGCAGTGCGCACGCGCGATTTGCTTAGTAACCACCCTCATACGCACGCGCACTTACTTGAAGGCGCGGTCGCGTCGCTAATCCAATGACCGAGCCAGTTACCAGAAACATGTTTCGGCTTTGGTCATTGGTTGAGCGTTTTCGTGACGTCGTTGGCTGGAGTGACGTCACTGTTCCAACCAAAACTAAACAAATGAGGGCGCTAGCGTGCGTGCGTGCTTTCGTGGGCACGTACATGACGTACGACTCGGGAATAAAACTGATGAAAAGATACTACAAACACGTACAAGTTTAACGTTGCTTTAGAGTTTATTTTCCTGATTAATGTCCTGAACAATATCTTTAACTTTAAGATGAAATATCACTTTAAGATGAAAAATGCAATGTCACTTTTGTTTTATCGGTTCTGCATCACATCTCTAAAACTTTTAATACAAGCCTAATTAAAAAGGAAATTTGGGTAAACGGTGTTCTCCTCGAAATTTGACGTTTATTTCCTGGGTAAATAGGCTACTTCATCTTTGACGACAAGAACTGCACAATACCGTCTGTTATATCATGAAGTATTTAGTTTTTAACAATTTTGGAACAATTAAATCTCAATTAAGGAGTAGTTTTGCTTACAGTTTTATGAATATTTCTGTTTTAGATGTCATGCAAAAACCCAACACCATGGCACACCTGGAAAATTCGCGATTACAAGCCAATGGGTATTAATGCCTGTTATCGCGCGTCTAACCAATTAAGGCAAGTCCGCTCAATGCATTTTGTACTGGAGCTCAGAACAGTCGTTTATCCTGGTGTCTAGGATCCGTGTTCTAACTTGAGAATGTTTCGGTGATCAGGTGATCGTGTAGTGTTTGTTAAAATTAGAGTCAAGACTCAAGGGTGTTTTTTATTACTCAAAAATGACCGTTTCAAACTAGAGCAGACTTCTCTCAAAATAATGACACCTTTTTGGTAATTTTGAACAGTTTCTTGGGTAGAAATTATGATTTTCCTACGCGGTTCAGGGTTGGTGCCGTGTGATTCAATGCGCCTTGCGCTAGCGCATTCACGGTACATCGTGCGGTGATCGCCATCTTTATTTTCGTGTTTATTTTTGTCATTGTCATCGTCATTTTACCCCCAAATTTCCTTCAAAAATTCAAAACCCTGCCCTCTATCTACATGTATGACATATCTGCATGTTCTTAAAGTTGTCAACTAGTTAAAAAAATGGTTTAAAGTGGCATGATACATATTACAGACACGGCCTGCAAAATCTATTAGCCTTTCAGGGTCAACGTTACGCAGTGTTGTTGTTCATAGAACACACAGAGAATCAAATTTCTGGCCCCAAGTGGTCATTTCCTTATCACATTACAGTTTAATTGCATGGACTATGAAATGCAGGCAGTGTCCGGCATTAATCATTTTTGAAAATTAATTATTATCAATTTGCTATATCCACTTACATTGTAATTATACTGGAAAACAAATAATTTGACAGTACCATTGCAGTTTGCAATTTGATACAGTACTTAAATTTTGTCTGTTTCTCCCACACACACAGGGGTGATATGGGACGCAAACGATGAAATACCTGGCGCTAAAGACACCCTGAGAAAAATAAAGGAAATGGTGAGATCATTTAGCTAGGGCATTTACTAAACCTGGGCTTTGCTTCCAGCTCTGGCTTCATCTTTGGCACCAAAGTTATGTACACGTAGAGATGCCTAATGTCTTGACCATATGGAATTCTCCTGAGTCCTCAGCCTGATATATTAGGCTTTGACATTTTTGAAGCACAACATGGACCTATGCATTTTGAACTGGAGTTAGCCACAGGTCAGGGCCGAAAATCTGAAGAAGGCCCGAAAATCTGAAGAAGGCCAACCAGGGGAGAATCTGTGGTTTGAGAAACACTCTTATTTGAACACCATTGGTAAAGCTGGCAACATTGGTACAATGGAAAATAATGATGCCTCAAGCCATGTCGTCTGCAGTGGGAAAAGAGATTTATTAACCCAACTCCCTGGGCACTTTTGCTATGATGTATTAACCTCGACCCTGCAAAATCCTCCATCTGCCTAGCCGCAATCCTGCAAAATCCTCTGTTGTTTCTTGAATATGGTCCATGGAGGGGTGACCAATGCCGCAGTCCTGCAAAATCCTCCGGCAATGACTGTCAATATGTTGAGGCAGAGGCAGTGACATCCTGGAGCAGTGCAGAGGATTTCAAGTATAATCAAGGACTGAATTTATGCAAGGCTGAGCATAAACAATGCAAGGTCCAGCCCAACTTAACACACTGCGTCCTCCGAAAATCAGCAACGCGCTTTTGCCATGTAACCTCAATCCTGCAAATTCCTCCAATTTGCAAAAAGGATTTTGGAGGATATGGGATGGCTCTAAGGGTTAATATCAGCTATTCCGTACTTGCTGTTTTACACGCAATATTAACCCTAACCATCCCAAATCCTCCAAAATCCTTTTGCAAATTGGAGGAATTTGCAGGATTGAGGTTACATGGCAAAAGTGCGTTACTGATTTCGGAGTACGCACTATGTCAAGGTCTTGGGCCGGACCTTGTGTTTTATATGCTCAGCCGTGCATAAATTTAGTCCTTGATTATACTTGAAATCCTCCGCACTGCTCCAGGATGTCACTGCCTCTGCCTCAGCCTATTGACAGTCATAGCCGGAGGATTTTGCAGGATTCAGGCAGTGGTCACCTCTCCACGGACCATATTCAAGAAATAGGCCCTAATGGAGGAATTTGCAGGATTGAGGCTATATGCTATTTTTCCATGAGGCCAATTGAAGGATTTTGCAGGATTGAGGCTACATCCCAGCAAAAAAGCCCAGGGAGTTAGGGGTTAAATCAGATATGCTTTTCCTTTTTTTTTCTTTCAAGGGCAAGAGGATAATCTTCATCACAAACAACAGCACGAAGTCGCGGACTCAGTACGCAAAGAAGTTTACCGAGCTCGGTTTTGAAAGTGTGCCCAAGGTACGTGACGATTGTTTCATTTTCAAAGGCATGAAGCAACGTTTTTGCAAATACCTGGAAACGTACCTGCCATTTGATGAGAAAATCTGTGCTCAAAGTGAAGATAGGCAGTGCTGTGGTACTCGTACTCGGTACTCGTACTCGAGTACTACTCGAGTACTTTTTTTGGAGTACTCGTACTCGTACTCAAATGCTAAAGCACTCATACTCGAAATGACGGTACTTGTACTCGGGCAGCAAAGTACTCGTACTCGACATGTCGAAATTGTACTCGATCATTAAAGTGCTCGTACTCGAATAGCAGTACTCTGGGGGGGGGGGGGGGTGTTATAGCTTCCTTTACCATGGCCTTATTTTATCGATACTTTCAGTTTGAAATGGTTGATTGGCTTGTGGAATTATCGAGATTTCCTGATTTTCTACTGTGCAAGTCCGGACAAACACATTAACAGCTAGCTGTGAGTGGTTCTGTATATCAGTCTGACTGGGCCTGGGCCAATTACGCACAATGAACCATTTGTCGTATGGTCGTATTCGGAAATTGCGAGTACTCGTACTCGTACTCGGAAGTACTCGTACTCTGAAGTACAAGTACTCGTACTCGGAGACCCGTTCTTGTACTCAGAGGTACTCGTACTCGTACTCGGCAACCTAAGTAATCAGCAGTACTCGGTACTCGGAAAAAGTACTCGACTACAACACTGAAGATAGGACTGGTACCAAATACCCTGTGACATTATTCCGCCTGAAATGATATCAGCCGGAATAAAAACAAATCATTGAAGGTGGTTTAAAAAAATGTGCCAGTAGGCACAGTTTTACGTGTGATAGCAACAAGGACGGCGATTGACTTTTGATTGACTTGTGATTTTGACTTGTGATTTTGACTTGTGATTGACTTGCCATTGACCAGTGATAGACTTGTGTTTGACATGTGATTGACTTGTGACTGACTTTTGGTTGACTTGTGTTTGACTTGTGATTGACTTGTGATGACTTGTGATTGAATTTTGGTTGACTTGTGATTGAATTTCGGTTGACTTGTGATTGACTTGTGGTTGACTTGTGATTGACTTGTGATTGACTTGTGACTGACTTGTGATTGACTTGTGGTTGACTTGTGATGGACTTGTGATGGACTTGTGATGGACTTGTGATGGACTTGTGATGTGATAGGCTTGCCATTGACCTGTGATAGACTTGTGATGGACTGGTGATGGACTGGTGATGTACTTGTGATGGACTTGTGTTTGACTTGTGTTTGACTTGTGTTTGACTTGTGATTGACTTGTGATTGACTTGTGTTGGACTTGTGTTTGACTTGTGTTTGACTTGTGTTTGACTTGTGTTTGACTTGTGATTGACTTGTGTTTGACTTGTGATGGACTTGTGATTGACTTGTGTTTGACTTGTGATGGACTTGTGATGGACTGGTGATGGACTGGTGATAGACTTGTGATGGACTGGTGATGGACTTGTGATGGACTGGTGATGGACTTGTGATTGGACTTGTGATGGACTGGTGATAGACTTGTGATGGACTTGTGATGGACTGGTGATGGACTGGTGATAGACTTGTGATGGACTGGTGATGGACTTGTGATGGACTGGTGATGGACTTGTGATGGACTTGTGATGGACTGGTGATGGACTGGTGATAGACTTGTGATGGACTTGTGATGGACTTGTGATGGACTGGTGATGGACTTGTGATGGACTTGTGATGGACTGGTGATGGATTTATGATGGACTGGTGATGGACTGGTGATAGACTTGTGATTGACTTGTGATGGACTTGTGATGGACTTGTGATGGACTTGTGATGGATTTATGATGGACTGGTGATAGACTTGTGATAGACTTGTGATTGACTTGTGATGGACTTGTGATGGACTGGTGATGGACTTGTGATGGACTGGTGATGGACTGGTGATAGACTTGTGATGGATTTATGATGGACTGGTGATAGACTGGTGATAGACTTGTGATTGACTTGTGATGGACTTGTGATGGACTGGTGATGGACTTGTGATGGACTGGTGATAGACTTGTGATGGACTTGTGATGGACTTGTGATGGACTTGTGATGGATTTATGATGGACTGGTGATAGACTGGTGATAGACTTGTGATGGACTTGTGATGGACTTGTGATGGACTTGTGATGGACTGGTGATGGACTTGTGATGGATTTATGATGGACTGGTGATGGACTGGTGATAGACTTGTGATGGACTTGTGAATGACTTGTGAATGACTTGTGATGGACTGGTGATGGACTGGTGATTGACTTGTGATGGACTGGTGATGGACTTGTAATGACTTAATAACAATCTTTCACTTCTACAATTGTCGTCTTCCCAGGAGCGCATATTCTGCACGTCCTTCGCAGCAGCGCACTACCTGAAGGAAAAGCTGAAATTCCAAGGCAAAGTGTACCTGATTGGAGAAGCTGGTTTAGAAGAAGAGTTGACTGAGTATGGTATCAGCTACACGGGACCGGGGGTAAGTCCTGACAATATGCTAAGGATATACAGGTTACCAGCCATAACATGCATTATGTCATGTTATGCATAGTGTGACCGGTACTCGGCTTATTTTTGCTCGGCATGTAAATTTGCACAGGGAAGATTAGATATTTAAAAAATGAGCTTTATTTAAATTTTTGGTCAAATGTGGCCGTTTGAGGTGGTCAATTTGTCGCCAGAAAATCGGGGTAGGACGGGGTACTGTAAACACACATTTTTGTTTTTGTTTGTTTTGGGGTTTGTTTTTACCTTAGCAAATTACTCTTTTGTTCAAAGCAAATATCTGTGCGTAAGAATTCCATAAAATTGGCGCGTGTTCTTTTAACAATGTGTTGCCCTGGAGTTGTTAATGATATTCTCAGTGAACTGTATATGGACTTAAATGTCCTGAAACATCAATTTGAACTATTTATTGACGTAAATGTCCTAAAACATCAATTTTGAGCTGTCACATACAAAATTTGTTCTGAAAACTGGAGAATAATCAGCAAATGCGTGATATCCGATTGCAATTCAACCCCCTAATCTCAAAAACTTTAAAATGCCTAATTTTCATGTCATTTTCTCTTTTGTTCGATCAACAGCCTGATCCTGTTACTGGGATCCAGAAGGAATGGCTTCATATACCACTGGATCCAGAGGTAGGATACCGTACCTCCTACTCTCAAATCAACAATTCAGAGTATCATAGGCCAAGTTCGGGCAAGGACCATTAGTCGACTAGTGGTTGATTTGTGACATACCTTACGCCTGCGCACTGATAGCAATGTGCGAACGTCTCTAGTCAAACGCTGGTCAAAATGTCATCGCAAAACTTCTGGATCCTGGCTCTCTGCTAGCGTTATGAATGCCTGCGGCTATTGGTTACCAGCAACCAACCCTAGTAGGCTGGTTCCAAATAGTCGACTAGCGTAGTCAACCACCGTCGACTAGACAGAGTTCGGGCAAACGTTAGTTAACCATTGGTCAACTATAGTTCTTGCGCGAACTTGGCCATAGTTGTGACCTCGCCAGATTTTCTCATGTGAAGGGTTTTTGGGTTGTCAAATAACTGAAAGGCTTTCCGTACAACAGTAGCGATGAGTCTTGAGAGTGTGGTTGAGCATAGTCTAGGGGCTAGACATTGTAAATGGTTTGATATGTGATAACCCGCAGCACAGCCGCAATAACCTGCCGCCGCCGCGAGAGGGCGCTATCACGACCAACCAATATCGCCCACGGACTTGTCAGAACAACGTCTGGGAAACTGCTGAAATCTCCCCCCCCCCCCAAAAAAAAAATAAGGGGAAACTAGTGCGCATGCACCACTTCTGCAGGCAACTACGGTCCATTTTCAGTCCCACACATACATGTACTACACACAACAAAAGAGCTGACCAGTGAAGTTGCACAAAGGTCTTGCCGCATCTTTTATTGCACTGGAAGAAATTTGAGAGTTTGCTTCGGAACTACTATAATTTTTGTGAATTGCGCGCTGCATACATTAAGCCAAACAGGTGCGCGCGCATTACCCAACCAATACGAGTTTTCTTAGACATTGTTCTGACAAGTCCGTGGGCGATATTGGTTGGTTGTGATAACGCCCTCTCGCGGCCGCGGGTTATCGCATGTTGCTAGTTATCGCTAGACTAGGTTGAGCGTAGCCTTTAGTCAAGGCGCGCGTGTCTACCTGGACGCGTGGTGCCTCTGATTCTGGCACGAAAAAAGACCAGTCGAGTGGCGAAGCCACAAGCACCTTTACCATCTCGTGGAGCTAATCATTATTCCTTTTTTCAAGTAAACTGAATCATGCATGTATGCCGATATATATGAACCAATCACCAACAACAAGCCATTTTTGAGGTGATGACACGCGCGCCCTCGAGTGCGCGCGCCACACGCGTTCTTAAAAAAACAAGACGCGCACGCATTCACAACATGTCATGCATTATGCATGAAAATTTGTCTACCAAATCGGTAGACAAATGTAAAGAAAAATACAAGCCCTCTCCACGAGATGGTAAAGGCCCTCGCGGCTTCGCCGCTCGTGCTAGTCTTTTTACGTGCCAGCATCCGGGGTGCGTCACGTGTCCGGATAAGCGCGTGGGACTTGACTAAAGGCTAGGTTGAGCATGGCATGCAGACAGCTCAACGTCTTTCCTACACAGCACACTGTGACAGGTTTTGAAGGGCACAGCGTACTGGACAGAACCTCGTATTTCTCGAGATAAACCTCATGTCACCGGCTTTTTAATTTTGCATTCTCCCCTTATTTAGTAGTCTAAGGAATCCGCTTGCACACGAGCGTCTTTGATATTCGCGCAGATTTGGCAATCAATTATGCAAACAAGACTGAGTGAGCGGGCGTCTTCTATTGGGTCTTCCGTGATCCGTTGTTGTATTACAAAAACATGGTAGCCAAATTGACCAATCAACAGCTTAGTCCACATTTCTGATCGAAATGACTTCTCATTTTCGACTTCAATTGGCTGGCGTGCTGGGTCCCATTTAAATTTGCATGCAAGGATATATCTGACGTGCATAGTGTGGCTCTGCACACGTGAATGTCTGATCCACCGACTGCTATTTTAGAGGAGAATACAAAATTAGAAAGGGGGTAATATGAGATTGATCTCAAGATTTTACATGGTACCACGGGATATCCAGGGATGTGAATTTCAAGAGTGTTTCGATTAAATAGCAACCGCTGGCAAGGTTTTTTGTTGCAATGTTTGCAACGACATTATCAACTACGCGTCGGGTGGAAAGAAATCACTCGTATCCCATGTGAAACACCCAAAGCACATCAAAGCATGGCAAATACGGCGAGGTAACATGAAAATGCATGGTTCTCAAATTTGAGTACAGAAGAAACTTTATAAGAACAAGAGTACATTTTAACAAATGAAGGAACATTTTTCTTAAAATTAAAACAAATTCTGCTCCAAAATTTCAGAAGAAAGTGCCCAGTAATCGCCTCAGATTGCACCACAGAGCATCTAAAATTAAAAAATTTGCGCTTCGCACTCGCCCAAGTTTGCATTTCATGCATAAAATTTTCAGGTTTTTTGTCACAGACCAATCACATCCCTGGATATCTTAGGGTTCAACCTTGAGTTCCTTCTCTTTTCATGTGGCATTCTTCCCGTACTGAAGTAGGATTCTGCAGTGTGTGTGCTAACTCTTATGGCAAAAGTCTTCTGGGAATAATTGTCAGTGATCTCATTTTGGAATTGATCTATTGGCTTTTTCTACAACAGAAGCAGAAGTACTAACAGTAAGATGTGATAACAAAACTACAAATCAAGAGATACCTCAGTCTACTCTTTTATTAACCCTAACTCCATAGGCATTTTTGCTAGGATGCAACCTCAATCCTGCAAAATCCTCCAACTGCCTTCATGTAAAAGATTCATACAGTCTCAATCCTGCAAAATCCTCTTCTATTTCTTGAATGTGGTCCTTAGAGGGGTGACTGCCTCAATCCAAAAAAAAAATCCTCCAGCAATCACTGTCTACATGTTAAGGCAGAGCCAGTGACATCCTGGAGCAGTGCGGAGGATTTCAAGTATAATCTACATGTACAGTGTAGGCCTAAATGTATGCACGGCTGAGCATAAACAACACAAAGTCCGGCCCAAGACTTTGACACAATGCATCCTCCAAAATCGGCCACACATTTTGGCTATGTAGCCTCAATCCTGCAAAATCCTCCAGTTTGCAAAGATGATTTTTGTGGATTTGGGAAGGTTAGGGTTCACCGACAATCATTTATCCTTCAGTCTCATTCATTGTTCTGTTTTCACGTACGGCACACCGAAGGCGGCATGTCCAAGTCTCACTCAAGTCCATTTCAACCTAATATTTTTAGGCCGGACTAAACCCCATCATGAACATGTCATAATAACACTCTCTGTGATTAACTCATTTAGCTTGCACTCGTTTCAGTTTGCCGTGTCTTCCTTGTCATATTGTTGTTTTTTTTTTCCCAAACTTTCCATCCCCTAGGTTAGGGCAGTGGTCGTAAGCTACGACGTCCACATCAGCTATGTCAAAATTTTTAGAGCGGCCAGCTATCTGAGCGATCCCTCTGTCGCTTTTGTCGGCACGGAAATGGACGGTCGCAAGCACTATCCAGGGACCCATGTTGTCAAGCCTGGTAAGCCGCATGCCAAGCAAACCTAGTCGTTTACGCTTCTCTTCCCACCCCCTTCCTGTTTTTCCCAAAGGTAAAGGCGGTCTGCGTGGGTTTCGATCGCCGGTTCAGCTATTTCAAGATTCTCAGGGCCGCCTCTTACCTGAATAAACCAAACGTTCCTTTCTTGGGGACCAACGAGGACCAGAGGTTCCCCCCACATGTCGGGTACGAGATTGTTTTACCAGGTAAATGAAGATTTCAGCTCTAGGATTAGTTGTGCCGTGTGGCGCAGTGCATTAAGCGCTCGCCTCTCACCGCTATGGCTCGGGTTCGATTCCTGGCTCAAGTGAGTAGAGTGATTCGTTGATTCTCTCCTGTGCCACGAGGGTTTTTCTCTGCGTTCTATTGTTTTCCTCCCTGCGCAAAAATCAATACTTTTTGATCTGGCTGTACTCCGTGGAAAGACGTGGGTCATATGGCGGCTGCCTAAGATGCCTTTGGCTCGACCACGTAGCTGCGTCCTCAATTCAGCTTCTGCTGCGACAATAGACCTGTCTCAGCAGACGCTGTCTTGAAAATCAAAGCGAGGCAAATAACGCAAATGAGCATGGCGTCGTAAATAGTGTGTGCGGTGAACGAGTGACTCTCCCAAAGTTACAGTAGATTCACACTCTTATAAATGGATGGATAGCTCAAATTCCCCGAAACATCAATCAACATTCTAGGAGGACCACGTCTCATGGTATTTTGATGAAGGATCTTATAAATATAAAGCCCCAAACCAGTGGCCAAACTAAAACTTCCGTGTAAGTTTCAGCGTAGTAGCACCGCCGTCAGAGAAACATCAAGTCTTTCTATTTTCCGTTTTTCAATCCGCAGTGTGCTCTGAGTATATAAAGTATCCAAGAAACCAGGAACATTTGTTTACATGAATAGAAAGGGGATTTGTCAACTCTTGCTGGCATAGTTGAATGTTGGTGTTTGTTTCAGCGTACCCTGTGGGACTCGAACCCATGACCTCCTGCTTATCAGTGCAAATGTCTTAACCACTTGGCCACCAAGGTTGTCACATTCTGTCGAAAGTAGTTGATTGTCATACTTGCTTTTTGTTGGTTTCGAACCAGCTGACCCTTGGAAGCTCAGTGGCCATGCCAAACGTCATCTGCACTTGTAAGCAGGAGGTTCAGGGTTCAAATCCTTCCTGAGGTAACTTGTGAAATGTTTTACTTGAATCTCTGAAGCAGGGAGCATACAGTGCTCGGCACGTTATGTCTGTGAGGGACAGATCTCAGTATTAACATTTGCACATTGTGTTCCCACAGGTACTGGTTGCATCATAAATGCAGTAAAAACGGCAGCGTTAAGAGAGCCTTTGATCCTTGGGAAACCGGAGAGTTATCTGTTCGAGTGCATTCAACAGAGGTATGTTGATGTAATAATCAGGTTGATTATGTGTTGGGCTGGGTTGTGTTGGGTTGGGTTGGGTTAGGTTGGGTTGAGCTGGGTTTGGATAGGATAGGTTGTGCTGTGTTGGATGGGTTGGTCTGGGCCGAGTGGGGTTGGGTTGGGTAGAGTTGGGTTGAGGTGGGTTGGGCTGGGTTTGGTAGGGTTGGGTTGGTTTCGATTAGGTTGGGTTGGTCTGGGCTGAGTTGGGTTGGGAAGGGGTTGGGCTGGGCTAGGTTGGGTTGGAATGGGTTGAGTTGGGTTGGGTTGAGTTGGGTTGGATTTGATTCGGCTGGGTTGGGCTAGGTTGGGTTGCATTTGGTAAGGTTGGGTTGGGTTGGGCTGGGTTAATTGGGCTGGGTTAGGTTGGGTTGGGTTGGGTTGGGCTGGGCAGGGCTGGGCTGGGTTGGGTTGGGCTGGGTTAATTGGGCTGGGTTAGGTTGGGTTGAGCTAGGTTGGGATGGGATAGGTTGTGCTTTGTTGGGTGGGTTGGTCTGGGCCGGGTTGGGTAGAATTGGGTTGAGGTGGGTTGGGTAGGGTTGGGTTGGGTTGGTTTGGATTAGGTTGGGTTGGTCTAGGTTGAGTTGGGTTGGTCTGGGCTTAGTTGGGTTGGGTAGAGTTGGGTTGATGTGGGTTGGGTTGGGTTGGTTTGGATTAGGTTGGGTTGGTCTAGGTTGAGTTGGGTTGGTCTGGGCTTAGTTGGGTTGGGTAGAGTTGGGTTGATGTGGGTTGGGTTGGGTTGGTTTGGATTAGGTTGGGTTGGTCTAGGTTGAGTTGGGTTGGTCTGGGCTTAGTTGAGTTGGGAAGGGGTTGGGTTGGGCTAGGTTGGGTTGCATTTGGTAAGGTTGGGTTGGATTGGGTTGGGGATGGGTTAGGATTGGATGGACCCCTCTTTGACTAATCGTATACATTGGTATACAAATAATGAATGTTTATGAGTGCAATGGTGAGAATATTTTCATGAGTTGAAAGATTGAATGTTCCATTCAAGAAGGTGAAGCCGAATTTGAATGGAACATTCCATCTATCAACGAATGAAAATATTCTCACCATTGCACGAATGCAAAACATGTATTATTTGTTTTATATAATATCCAAGTAGGTCTTTGTCATTCGATTGGAGGATAAAACTTTAAGAACAAACAAAACTCACAAAATTATATCCACTACTTTTTTTCAGCTTGTTCAATGCTAACAAAGGTTTGAAATTAACATTTTAGGTTCTTAAAATAATGTAAAAAAATCTCATCAAGGCAACTGCATCCACTTCAAAGGCAAGTTTTGTGCTGCTAAAACGCATGATATGGTCTAAATAGCACAAAGATAGAGCTACGCCGGGCCGCTGTGCGTCAAGCTTAGCGTGCGCGACGTGCAATAGATCAAAGGGATGGGACAAAAATGCACGGTGAATGGAGCCAAAAATGCACGATTATGACGTAGGCCGTGCAATGGTTCGATTAATGAATGCCGCATGACCTACAATCGACCAATCAAATGACAAGGATTTACTTGGGTGTTATATAAAAGAAAATGCTTGCTAGCTCATCAAAATTTGCAAGCTTAATTGGCCCCAGACAATGTAAAAATTAAACAAAATGATTTTTTTTTTTCAAAATAATGGTAATACTAATACTTCTTGTGTCTCCAGCATCAAGGAGGTGGACCAGTCTCGGACCCTCATGGTTGGTGATAACCTCCACACAGACATCCCCTTCGGCCGTAACTGCGGCCTGAAGACGCTCTTAGTTCTCACCGGAATCTCCACCCTGGAAGAGGCGCGGCACTTCCAAGCTAGCAACTCCATCCACGATCAAAAGAAGGTCCCTAACTTCTATCTGCCTTCTATTAAAGAACTCGGGGAACTAATCGACAAAGTGCAATAGGCTTTGAATTTGTTTTTCTTCAATTAGAATTGAAAGTGAAAATCCTTGGGTTTGATAAAAAGCCTCTGCAAAATCTCTGACTTTGGTTTCCAGCTCCATTTTGCATGATTGTATGGGAGCTGTAATCAAGTTACCCATCGCTGTGGTCGCCATCTTGGTCTGGCTCCTGGAAACCAACATATTCTCAATGTGCTGAATCTCAAGTGCTTCTAACAGTTACCACTCTTAAATTTAGTCACAGTACTTACAGCTGTGTTAAGTGACATATAACAGAAAGCTTTGCTTCACAGCTCCTTTTGGCACTTAAGTACGTTTCTTTATAATTTTTTTTATTTTTGTTTAGGTGGTATGATATTTCTCATCCAAAGAATAAGGTGAAATTGTACTGGGGAACAGGTAGGGGTGTGGGTGTTGAATATTTAATTACTCGTGATAAAAGGGGTTTTGGTAATTATTATTTATAGCGTGTATAGAGGCCACATTCAATGTGTGCAATTTCTTTCTTTTGTTTTGGTTTCGGCCAAAAAAAAAGTCTCCGGTTTCTGGTATGGAGCTTGCCCAAAAAGTGGTGCGGCGATGCTGCTTTTTTTTTTTTTTTTTTTCCTTCAAATGTCGGCTGGTTACTGCAAATGGTGCCCGACTAACTTTAGTGCAAATATATGGGAGTCCAGAGAGGCCTAATAAAGCTTATGCTCGATCGTAACCCCATCTTAAAACACGTTAAAATTGTGCAGCAGCAGGATTCCAGTAGTCAAACCAGTGAGTTTGGCGGTTTTGAGACATCATCTTTCATTGAAAAAAAAACTTTTTCATTTTGCCGACGCGCATGGCTACGGTGACGCACGCGCATACCAGAAACCAGAGACTTTTTTTGGCCTTAGGGTGTATTTAGGGTGTAAATTCCACCCCAATCGAAGTGTCCTTTCTTCTTGTCGATGCATATATTTTGTTTAAAAGGAGGCATGAACTTTTCCTCGGATCAGCTGCTTCCTCGATGTTCACTTCACACTTATGCCATTAAGAAGTAAACATTAATAAAGTATTGTAAAACTTGGGAATTTTCTCTTTTCTCGGTTAATTCCCGGTTGCATGCATGTGATAGGCCTAGTTATTTCAGTTTGAAATTTCCTGTGACACTTTTTCCAAACACGTGATACATTTTCCGAACAAAATCCAAATTTTTCTTGTCTTTTTGGAAATATTTCCAGAAGTACTTTTGTCTTTTAATTAATATTGGACACAGTTATTGTCAATTAACGATTGTACAGTACATAACTTCATTATGTCTTCAAAATATTGTGTTTCTTGGTTTTTTTCATTGAAATGGACATAATTTCCTTTCTTTAAATATATATATATCAATGGTCTAAACTTGTATAACGCAAACATTTCTAAAATTATGCTCACATATATAAACGGATTTTCCAGTGTTATGTTTTCAGTTCTTTTTTTTATGCTCGCATTGAAGAGAAAAAATTAAATCGGAGTTATTTTAAGAAACAATTCCTAAAGTCATTTGGTTCTCATTATTGTATCAAAACATACGCGCGCCCTTTTGTAGTGAAATGTCTCTCAATGCCAAGTAGACCCGGTGTCGTATGGAATTTGGATTCTGATGAAATCTGGTCTCTTTTAACTTATATGGACTCTGATTCTGACACATAATTATGTTCACTAAGGCATGCGCAATACAACCAATGTTTCCTTATTTCATAGAGTTCAAGATTACATCACACTGGCCCCTTCCGAATGTAAAGTACAGTACTTTCCTCCTCTAGATACAGGTCTAGACGAATCTTTGCACGTGATCATTGTCACGAGGCCCTCTTCAATGGAGAAACATTGCACACGCTATTGTACAAAACAACTGCCCTGTGACGGATTATCTCAACAATAGCATAATGCTTTCGCCATTGAAGGGGACCTTCGTGATAGAATTGCTAGCGTGCCCGAATTGGTCTAGTCATTGACTTTTCGGACTCACAGTGTCCAAATACCTATGCCCAGTGGCGTAGCGGGGGGGGGGGGGACGCCCCCATAAGAACTCATCGCCACCCCCTCCAGTCATCCCCCCACTGGAAATGAGTTAGTCCTATAAGTGACCATTGTTAACGAGTTTAACAGAAATCCCCCCCCCCGTAACATCCAGCAGCCCTGTCACCCCGCCCCTCCCCCGTGGTAAAGAGCCCTAGGCTACACGCGCAACTGCCCTTACCGCCTTTAAAGAAGTATAACTCCATTCTTACAGTTGTTTTCCAGTTCTGGCTGACCTTTTGATTATAGGATCGGAATTAGAATTTGTGTTTTATATCAAATGACGTGACCGGAAAATGTATGTCATAATTCGTAAAAACAACGGAAAAATCAGGAATCAAAATCCTAAATGTCAAATTTCCCGATAAACGTGACACTGTGCATGCTAACAGCCTGCATCCAACCCGAAAGAACACACGTTGTATGTCTCAGTTTATCACATAAAAAAAAGAAGATAAATTTGGTATTGATGATGCACGTCAGTTAATTTACATGAGTTTAGGTCTAATCACGAAATTATCCGGACTGACACGTATACGGCTTTCCGTGACGAACACCGATAAATGCGTACCAAATCCATCAACCAAAATGTCACCCCGTGTAAAGTTGCAGTTTTGTGCCCGTGCTTGTTTGCCTGAAATTTCTTATTAACTTTTTTTTCATGACCATGGGTTTTGTTGTTGTTTTATAAGTAAAATGCAAACTTTACACAATCAGATTTTTTTGCCAGGGCTCGCCAGTTCAAAATGGGAACGAAGTAAAAGATCTGAGTGTTTTCAAATTGCATGCCATTTGTAATTTATTTGACATTTTCTTATCAGACTTCACCTGAGACGTAGGAAAATTGTAAACCAAAGGGAGCCAAAGGGGGCCATGACCCCCCCCCCCCCCCCCCCCACGAAACCATTTTTTTTTTTTATGTGACATCGCAATAAAGGCAGGCAATGAGTACACCACCATCTTTTCCTCAAAAAAACATTGGTTAAAGTGGTCAGAAATAGCCTCAGATCGCACCACAGAGCATCTAGAATCCAAAAAAATGTCGGGGCCCTTAAGCGGGCCGCGCCCCGAACCCCACGCCGTAATTTGTTGACCCACTTTTTTGGGGACCAAATTTTTTTTGGCCCCCTCCAAAATTGTGTTCTGGATCCGCCCTTGTTGTGATATGGATAGCAGCTGGACGGCGTGGGATTGGCAAGCGCTCACTTGGCGTGGTCTGAAGGGGAGGGGATGTATACACATGCATTATTTATGAGCAAGTAAGTAAGATTTGAGGCTTTGCATGGTGGAGATACTAAATAATGAAAGGTTTGCAGGAACACCATGTGCGAATAATTTCTCAACTGAGAATGGTTCTGAAAAGAACCAGAGGTATAAACATTAGTCAATGTTATCTTACAGAAATATCAAACTGTATTATCATAGCTGTATGGATTACGGAGCGAGTGATTTATTTACATATTTGATCAGAACATTAAAAGTTATAAGTGTTAAAGCGAATCGGAAACGAAGCCGAGCTTTGAAAAAAGGCTGTCAATGTCGTCATGGTGTTTTTTTGCCACGGAGGCTGCCTGACCTACAATTTAGACGTGAGCGTCGGGAATAATTGTCAGGTCTAGGGAACCAGACTAAATTAATGATTACTTGCTCATAAATATGCATAACATGTATGTGCATCCCTCCCCTGGAGACCACGCCTATTTTGTAAGCATTGTGCGGCATCCAACACATTGCGCATCGGCTGATTAGCATAACTTCCCCCTCTTCTTGTTGATTCCTCTTTTTGATGAATGGAACGGTCCGTGATCACTGCCTGTTGATTGATGCGCGGTGAAATAGTTATGAAATTAAGTTTGTTTAAAACCTGCCGTCGCTCTTAAAATATCAGATCTGACGCGACGCGCACTGAGATGCTTGAGTGCTGAACTTCATTCAGCAGCAAAAAAATGTTATTTTACTAGCGTGTATAGATTAGCCTACCGATTGATCATGCTACTGCCGAGTTTACTGGGGACTTTCTTGGTGCTAGCGGGCCACGGATGCTTCTCTGCCGTGGACGCGCGCCCTGCGGCTCCCCTGCACATCGGCGGGCTGTTCCCGCTGTCGGAAAAGGACGGCTGGAGCCGTTTCTTCGGCTACAGTGCTCTGGTGGGTGCGAAAGGAGCGATCGTGGACATCAACAACAGAAGCGATATTTTACCGAACTACACCCTTGTGCTACACGTGGCTGATACTGAGGTATTTGCTTTCCATACATTTTGTTTCATTCCAATAATAACGCCACTCGAAATCCAAAGAAAAATGCTCAAAACCTAACCTGTTGAAGTTTCAGCTCAGCGGATTCAGCAAGCCAGACGGAATAAATTCACGGGGAGTATAGTACCAGTTTGCCAATCCAAGTAAGCCTTTTGACAATAATTCGGGAGGATTATTTGGGATAACTGTGCACATAATTCTATACGCCTTTAAAAGTTGTTTAAAATTGTTGTTTATAAGTTGCGCAGTTGGCCTAAAAGGCAAATGTAAAAAAAAATAACCCAAAAAAACCCACCAGTTTCTCGTCCACGCCCGCTTCTTTGTTTCCCCCTGCCGTCTCCTTTTTTACATTAATACATTTGCAATACATTTTGCACATAACAATTGTCATATTGTCTTTTTACTTGTTTCCAACGCAATTGTATAGTTATGTAGAAAGGGTTATGGCTCCTTTGGACACAATTTTGTATCAGGAAAATAGTCGAGAAATCTGAAGAATCCCTCCACCATTTTGGAAAATCCGCCGTCTTGGGAGGGGAAAATGAAAAAAAAGTAAGGTCGGACGAAAAACTCATTTTGTTTATTACTCGGCCATGTCGGCCTTGTAGCACTTTCGTCTCCATCCATCCCTGTAGCCGGGGTTCGAATCCCGGCAGACCCGACAGGCGAATGAGCATTTCATTTTGCAAACTAATTATGCAGGTTCATTCATTTCATTTGGGTGGTAAATTCCTCAACTCTAAATCTGAACATGAAAAAAAATTGTCCCTATAATTCCAGACCTGCCTTCCCTTTCTTACGTGTTAACTAGTCCGTCAGGCGTAGGCCTACCATATGCACTTATGAGAAACTCGTAAACTGCGTTCCCCAGTAATTAAAAACAAAATATCGAGAAAGGGTCAGGTATACTCGAAAGCACTCGATAGCAGTCTGTAAACCTGATAAAACTGAAAAGAAAAAGTGTCTTAATTCCTTTCTCCTCGTTCTTACGTGCTCTAGCTTGACCGTAAGGTGTATAAAGTGCCCGTTCTGAGGAT